AATAGGAACTTCTTTGCACCTAGTGAGGAGCTTTCATTGAGAGCTCACGCGTGTTTGCAACATTAATCTCAGGCAACTATTTATGATTTTTGCAGTCTATTTTGGGTTTAATCCATGTCTCACATCCATAAAGTAATGCAGACTTTAAAAACCTATTGCAAAATTTCAGAATGCCTTTTGCAATGTCAGTAGATATGCATCTATTTTTGCGGGGTGTTATTGGTTGATATACGCAAAACCCTGGCTGGCTCTTTGCCGATTTTAAGGACTGCTTCACATGAATGCAGTGCCTCTTGCTCGACATTGGACTGGATTGCTGTAACAGTTTTTGCCATAAGACAAATTTGATCTTCTAAAGTCAAATAGAGCAGCTCTTTTCCTTCCCGAATTATACCATTTTCGGCATTAGCATTTTCTCCAAGACAGAATGTAAAACCAAAAGAGAAATCACTCTCAAGAGGCACAGTTCAATTCCTTAATTTCCGAAGATTGCCAGACTTTGTTCTAGGAGCGAATTCGAAGGCAACCATCCTTAAACAAGTAATGAATTTGCTTTAGAGTATCTTTATCGGTTCCAATTTTCTCCAAACATTGGGAAAAGCAGTCCGATCAATATTGTGTCGAATTTAATGGGTATAAGGAACATTGGTGCATTCATTTCTAAAGACTGTTCTTTATTAATTCGGAGACTCGCAGTGCAATGCAGTTAACTCGGATTTGCCGCTTGGATCGTTGACAATATTTTATTAAAAAGATCAACTATTCGCTGGGACCTGTAAAAGGCCTGAGCTACATGCATTCAGTGCCACTTGCTCTTTTTTAGACTGGATTGCAGTATCCGTTTATGCCATAAGACAAATTTGATATTAAAAAACTAAATAGTGAAGATCTTTTCATTTCCCAAATTATTGCATCCTCTTCAGGGCAATCATTTTCTCCAAGACAGAATGTAATACTAACAGATAAATCACTATCAAGAGATTCTTTTATTTCCCGACATTGCCAGAATTTCCAGCAGCGATTTTGTTGGAAATCATCATGGAATAGGTCATGAATTTGCATTATATATATATATTAACAAGTTGCAATTTTCTCCAAATTGCGATATGCTGTTCGAATCAATTTGGCTAATTGTTCTGTAGAGTTCTAAGGTTCAAAGGAACAAAGGTGCCTTCATTTCCAATGATTGTTTTACAATAATTCGGAGGCTGGAAGAGCAATGCAGTATACTCGGACTTCTAGATTGGATCGTTTACAGTAACTTATTGTAAATGTCATCCATTCCGCTGGGCTGGGATCTGTAAACAAATTGTGCAGTACAGTATTTTTTGCTTACCTGCACAATCAAAAATTGCACGACATCTTGTGCAGCAATGCCCAAAATGCAGGTAGCTTCATTGCATTTATCTGCACAATGAAGCAGGTATCTTTAATTTTACTTACGTGCACAAAAAGTGCAGGTATCTTTAATTTTCTATTCGTGCACAACAAAGCAGCAATCTTTATTTTACTTACGTACGTGTAATAGCCAGCCAAAATCAATGGGGAATCTTTTAAAGTTTATAATACATTTATTAAGTGGTTTAATTATATTAAACACAAAAATTTAACATAAAATAAATAATTCATAAAATAACAAAACATAACAATTCATTAATTAAAAAAAAAATTGGTACTTTCATTTTAGGAACTAAAGACAAATAAGGAACTGAAATTTGATTATACATATGTATTCAATTTATAAAAATGGTATTGAAATCTTTTATTGTTTTGCAATTTTTGCAGAACCTTTTATTATTTCCGTCTCTGCCTGGTCAAAAGATACTTCAATATTTTTATAAAAACAGTATTTTTGCAATATATTTAGGGCTGATAATGCGTCGGAAAGTGTTGGTGGCTCTATTGGATCAATATCCTCCTCATCTTCTAACTCTTCGTTTTCTACATTTGAAGCATTGTAAGTAATTGCCTGAACTAGTTTAGCTTCAGATAAATCCCCGTAACATGCAACGTTATCATCGCAATGAACGTATGCTGCACCATGGTACAATGAATAGAAGGTAGGTCAACTTTGAAAAAATTGCAAGTATAGAGGTCTACCTGTTTGGCTTGTAATGTCAGAATTACTATCAAAACAATAAAAAAGCAAAGAACTTGTTGCATTGATTTTGAATAAATAATTTAAATCCGCGAAAACTGAATGATAGTTCAAAATTTCTTTTCAAAATCATATTCTATATATCTCTTATGGTTTATTTCACGACAAAAACTGTAGATTTTGTCGATGCATATGTTGTTTGAATATTTTCTGAAAAATTTTTTATTATTGAAAAGAATACGCACACATAAACAAATTATGTTGACATATTAAGCCAGAAAAATAAAAAAATTTAAATCATATGGTAGTTCTGCCCTACCTTGAATTCATTGTACCATGTGCTGCACTATCTGCGACCGTTGTTATGATATCCAAATCTTCAAATATAACTTCATCGGAATCGATGTTGTCATTGAGCAAAAACCCACCCTAAAGTTAGTATTTTTAGTATTATCATTGCTGAAATATTTAAATAAAACAAGTAAAAAAACATTAAGTTCGGCCGGGCCAAACTTTTAATACCCTCCACCCTAGGGTAAAAGAACATTAGAAGAAATGTGGCAAAAAAACATTAAAATGCCGAATATCGGGAGGTACCGTTATATGGGGGCCACACCAAAACGTGGACCTATAATTACAATGTTTCGCCACACGAACTAGGACCCATTATGACCCACAAATACCAACTTTTACACAAATCAGTGAAAAAATGTGGCATAAATCATCAAAATACCGAATATCGGGAGGTACCGTTATATGGGGACTATACCAGAACGTGGACCTATACATGCAATGTTTTGCCACACGCTCAGGGACCCGTTGTGACCTACAAATACCAATTTTCAGACAAATCCGTGAAAAAATGTGGCATAAATCATCAAAATATCGAATATCGGTAGGTACCGTTATATGGGGGCTATACCAAAACGTGGACCTATACATGCAATGTTTTGCCACACGCTCAGGGACCCGTCATCACCTACAAATACCAATTTTCAGATAAATCCGTGAAAAAATGTGGCATAAATCATCAAAATACCGAATATCGGGAGGTACCGTTATATGGGGACTATACCAGAACGTGGACCGATATATCTCATTTTCAATACCAACCATCCTAGGGACAATACACACACTTGTGCCAAATTTCAAAGGTCTACGTCAAATAATGTGGGCTCTATCGTGATTTCAACAGACAGACAGACAGACGGACAGACAGACAGACAGACAGACGGACAGACAGACAGACGGACATCGCTAAATCGTCTTAGAATTTTATGCTGATTATGAATATATATACTTTATGTGGTCTACGACGAATATTTAGAGGTGTTACAAACGGAATGACAAAGTTAATATACCCTCCTACCCATGGTGGAGGGTATAAAAATGAAGTAATTACCTTCTTAAAAAAATTTGAAATGCTCGAAGGCTGTACCAACCACCAAGCTTTTTTTATAAAATACAAGGCGTCAAGGCATGAAATTGATTTGTAGAAATCTTTTATGGTCAGATTTCGCTCTAAAGCACTTATTTGTTTTTTGACAATTATTTGCCGATAATATGTTTTGAAACAAGATATAATTCCTTGGTCTAATGGTTGAATTAGCTTATCAAAAGTAGTTAAGCAATGGATAGACAAACTCAGAGAGACAAATTCACAACATATGTATTTGAGCATCAATGGTGTTTCATCCAGCATAACAATCTTTTAGTGTTGGAGAGGAAGCGAGAATATGTTTTTAATGTATGCTCTTTTCTTGTGTTGTTATTGTTTTTGCGAATACAAAAACAAAAACGAAGTGGTAGCTTTTAGTGTCTTTTTTGAGTTTGCAAAAAATTTTCTTGTGCAGATAAATACAACTTTTGTAACCAAATTAAAAAAAAAAAAACCAAATTTTCGAGGCAGGAATGTCCAATGTGCAGCTATCGATTGGGCACTTAAATACAATTCAAATAAAGGGATTTAGAAAAAAATGGCATAAAAAAAGTTTTTTGGTCTGCAAAGGCCAATGCGCAGCTAATGTTGATGCATGTAAATAGAAACCACTGTAACATGAAATGCAATGTATTGACTTATGTGACATTTTAATCCTAAAATATATTTTAGTTGACCAAAAAATGCCCTTTTATTTTATCAATAACACATTTATTGTTAAAATGATAGTGTTCTCCTTAAAATATGATTTAACTTATTGTTTTGTATTATTTTTACTTTGTAATTGCTCTATTCCATAAGTGTTGAAAAACATACATATATTTTTGTGTGAAAAGTCAAAATCAGCAACCTCAGTTAAATAATTAATTGTTGTATCAATTATAAATTCATCTGACTGTCTTTGAAAGCTATTTAATAATGAACGTTACGTCTGTGTACGCATTGTCATTAACAAAGTTTCTGCCACCACAATCATCGTCGAGTTGTTGATGGAGAGAGAGAGAGAGAGAGGTGGTGAGTGTGGTGTAATAAATAAAAGTTGGCAACAATTAAAAAAGCGTTGGCAACACTCCCTTGTTATTGACAAAAAAAAGATAATTTTGTTTTGTATTTTGAATTCTAATTTCGACTCTTTCGGAAAAATAAAAAATATAGTGAAAAAAAATGAAGATTATAAATGCGTTACATATCTTAAGTTCAAGTGAGGATGAAAAGAAGTGTGTATTAGTAGTGCAGCGGCGAGTGTTAAGGCAACCAACAAACATATTTGCATTGCCTGGCTCTTGATTGTGTTGTTCCAAAAGTTTATAACGCTCTTCCAAGAGTTCAATAGTTTGTACTTTCCTTGATGACTTTTTACCATTGTTTTTTCTGGGCGATCGAGAAGTTTCAATAGTAGGTTACATCAGTCTCGTCTTCAGCATTGTCCACTTGCTCATTTTCATGAACTATAACGTTTATTACCCTTATGTTTTCCTTATTTTCTATTCCAAGTGCACCACCTGGTCTGTTCAGTAACTTTTGAAACTGCATTATATTAGCGGCAGACTCATCCAATGGCGACAGTCATTTGCTTAAAAATGCCACCTCCAGTGCTGCTGGTTTCATCTTTGTTGTGCACAAGTTTCTTTTTAGTTTTAAATTTTTCCAAACCTAGAAGAATTTTAGAAAACCAACTAATAAAAACATACAAAAATAATTTTAATTTTTACACACTTTTTGCCAGCCATCGGAGTCTCTAATCGGAGGCCCGTTTACATTTAATTTTGTAGCAATAGATTCCCAATCAGATTTAAAATTAGCTGGAACATGACCTTTGGTAAACCCTTTTACCAAACATGGATTTTTTTCCAATTCGGAAACCAAAATTTCAAATTGTTTTGCTGTTGTTATTTTGATGCTCAAATATCAAATACAAAATGCTTACAATATCAACGTCGACTAAAAAATGCTATGTCGTCACAATTTTTTACGGCGACAGATATTCTAAAAATCGACTTCACGTCGACTATTGTATCGACAATGATAATGGCAACCATTTGTCGCTATCGACAAAAAACGACAACCCTAATATCATTATTGTCGCCTCGACTTAATTTTGCGACGCCGACGATAACCGTAATAGGGCCGATTGTGAGAAAAAAATATTGGAATAAAAGAAAAGAATTTATGACAGCGTTCTTTTTCTGTAACAACGCAATATATATTGCTATCTTCTCAAGCTAAATGTATGTGTGCGCTTTCACATTGCAAATCTATGGTTGCACTCCAGCAACTGGTGGAGGAGAGCGAGGGGCGGTTCGCAATAGGCAAAAACGCAGAGCAATAAACAAATGACTCCTTTTTCTAACTCAGTGGATATAGTAGCATAACAAATTAAAACAGAACTAGGGAATATTCCAATATCTGTTTTCTAAAAACTACGTTTTACTGAATATTTGTGTACATATGTATTTTAACTTTTTTCCTTTGTGTACGCGATGCCGCCCTCTGGCAACAATTGATTGAATATTGGAACTGAGTAGTTGACGTTTGCTACACTAGAATTACATGAAAAATATATTCCTTCCATACCATATCCAAAAATGATGCCCCCATGAAATTTTTAACGTATCTTTACTTCTTTTGTTTCTTGTTTGCTCTTTTTGCTTGATTTCACGATAACCGCAACAAATGTTAAACTATTTCCGATCACTTGCAATGCATAACGGCGTTTAATCAAAAATATGACAGACACGGCGAACTTTCGCGAAGACGGCAATGTACTTTTCTTCAATAATAACTTTTGTTGAACGCATTTGTGTTTTGTCGGCAAAATGTAGAACAGTTTTATTTCATAACTCTGAAAATTATTCAATTCCAAAAATTCACCAAAATAACGAAAATATTGAGGTACCATTATATGGGGGCTGTACCAAAACGTGGACATACATGGCTCATTTTCAATACCAAAAGTATTGCAGACCTACTTCCTTTTGTTCGGAAGCTAAAGTGATTTCCACAGACAGACGGACATCGCTAAATCGACATAGAGTATTATGCTGTTCAAGAATATATGTACTTTACGGGGTCTAAAATGTATATTTCGAGGTGTTGCAAACTTCTGCTACCGGAGCTAGAACCCATTATGAAATACCAAATCCGTGGATAAATGTGACAATATTATCAAAATACTGAATATGCGATGTTTTTGGGAAATTGAAAAAAAAATCGGTGAATAATTTCGCTAAAATCATCAAAACACCGAAAATCGGGAGGTACCGTTATTTGGGGACCATACGAAGACGTGGACCTGCACGTCCAATTTTCTGTCTTAGGCTGTAGTTTCCATTGCGAACTTCAAATACCATTCCGGTGAATAATGTAGCTAAAATTAACAAAATACCGAATATCGGGAGGTACCATTATATGGGGGCTATATGTAAACGTGGCCCATTTTCAATACCAAAAGTCCTGCAGACATACAATTCGGAAGTTAGATTGCCACAGACGGTGGTCGCTAAATAAACAGAATTTTATGCTGATCATGAATACATATACTTTGTGGAGTCTAAAATGCATATTTCGAGGTGTTACAAACGGAATGACAAACTGTATATACCCTCCATACTATGGTGGAGGGTATAAAAACTTCTATGAAAAGGCTACGAAGATTTTTTATACCCTCAGCCATATGGCTAGAGAGGATATGTATCATTTGTTAAGGTCAAAACGTGCCTCAAAGATATAATGGTTTTAGACCCTAGGTCTCTCTGGATCAAATGTCCGTTTCAGGACATTTGGAGTCGATCTAGCGATCTAACATAGATCGACTTCGTAGATGGGCCTTCTGGTACCTCCCCCATAAAAGGTCGAAATTTGACGATTTTCAAATTCGGTATTCGAAGTTCCTGATGGATAACTACAGCCTGTTACAGAAAATTCAGATCCAGGTCTTCGTATATCCCCCATACCTTCGTATATGCGGTATTTTGATGATTTTATCTACACTATTTTCCGGATTTTTTCAAGTTTCGTATTTGAATATTGAAGTGTCGTAGATCCCAAATATAGCGGCTATATTCGAAGACTTTAAGATTTTAACAGAATTTTTATTAACTTTTTTTTGAAAATTCCCAAATTCGTTTCAACTAATGGAGAGCCCGGCCGAACATACTGCTTTTTCTACTTGTTGCATTTTAAACGATTGTATTTCTCAACAATGCAAGAAAAGATTGATGAAACCAAAAGATTTATCTTATTTTTCTATTTTACTAACCTCTGTTAAACGTTCTCAAAGGGAGATGTTTTGCAAGAGGTTATAATCCCGACCTGCTAACACTTTTTAAGGGTTTTAACAACATTCTCTAGCCTAATCAGGAATGTTGTGCTTTCAATGGATTACATAGGAAAATCCATCTGTCAAAATTTTCCCACATAAGCTCATCCACGGAGAAATTAAAAAGGTAAAGCTATCTCAAATTAGTATATCCATCTCTGCATTTTCTGTAATTTACCTTGTAAATTTTCACTGCATACAATACCAGTTTCCATCTCTGATTTCTGTAGGTGACAATGACTGCATGACTTTACCTTCCTAATTCTACCAGATGCTCAGCATTTCATTTCAATATTTTATTTACTTCACGATATTGCACAAGATTTGCATACTTACTTGCCCAGGAACAACAACAGAAAATAAAACAAATAATTAGGTTTCAGAAGGTTAGTTTATTAGACTTTGAAGTAATAGGATAGAAAAGACACCACCATATGAAAAAGCTTTAAACGGTAGACCACACTTATAAGAAACTCATTAAAATTTGTTTTTTTTTTGTCGTTATTGTGAATAGTTGGCGAACTGTTAAATTGTATTCATTTGTTTCCTGATAATTTCACATTAGGTCATTAAAAGAGAAATATTATTTTTATGTGTCCTATATTTTGATTCCGATATTTCGATTACCTTCAGTAATCATCTTCAGGTATTTTTTCTAGTAGGAATAGGCTAGTCTGTCTCAGTGTTACTATCATACTATTTTATCTAGTTTCTAGTACGACCAATAGTTTTGTGTCTGATGAGGTATTAAAGATGCCGCAAAATGTCGTTAAGATGTGTTTTATGAGCGTTTTTCACCAATTAAAGTTTGGTGAATATTCTCATATAAAATTATTCTGAGAATTATTTCAGATTTGGTGTAAAAAAATTGTATCTGAACTTGTTTTTTTTTTTTTTTTTTTGGGAAAATAATTTTTTCTGCCGAAAATACGAAAAATGGCATGGTATCTCACAGATAGTTTTTTGTGCTCATATGTGTGGTCTGCTGTATTATAAGTGTTACAAAATTTAAATATATTATCCATTTAGTTGAATATAAAAGAGTTAATAGAGTATAAAGTTATTACAGTATAAAGTGGCAAAAAAGTGAGTAAAAAATATATATTTCCATATATTTTGTTCAATTGTCTTCGTTTTCATTATTTTCCACCTGAAGAAATTGTTCAACTGTTTTCTTATTGGCATAACCGTGAATATACACATCTAGAAACTATTTCCAAACATGAGGAGCTTGTGACAAACGTATCAAATCAGGCCAGGTGGGTCCAATTTTTTCCAATCTATCTTCAACAGTTCTCTTCAAGGTAAACTTTGGACGTCCGTTGTTTCTCTTGCCTTGTGGATTCCACTGGAAACTCTTTGCGGAGATAATTGTGGATCTTCATTGCACCTAGTGAGGAGCTCTCTTTGATGGGCCACGCGTGTTTGTAACATTACTCTCAGGCAATTATTTATGAATTTTTGCAGCCTCTTCGTCTCCCTTTTGGGTTCAATCCACGTCTCACAGCCATAAAGTAATCCCGACTTTATAAACCTATTAAAAAATTTCATCTTTTCCTCGGTCGAATACTTCGAAGATTTCAAATATCTTCGAAATATGCTGAAATTATTTTTAGCCGTCAGCATGCCTTTTGTCACATCAGCAGATATGCCTACATTTTTGCTAAAAATGCTGCCGAGGTAACAAATCTCGCCAACATCTCTTAATATCACATCTTTTAGCTTGACAGGTGTGGTGTTGTTGGTTGAAATACGCATAACCTTGGTTTCTTCTTTGTCGATTTTTAGGCCTGCTTCACATGCATGCAGTGCCACTTGCTCGACTTTAGACTGGATTGCAGCAACTGTTTTTGCCATAAGACAAATTTGATCTTCAAAAATCAAATAGTGCAGCTCTTTTCCTTCCCAAAGTATACCATCTTCTGCATTGACATTGATTTTCTCCAAGACATAATGTAATACCAAAAGAGAAATAACTCTCAAGAGGCAGATTTCAATTCCTAATTTTTCTTTAATTTCCGAAGATTGCCAGATTTTGTTCCAGGAGCAAATTCGACGGGAACCATCGTTAAATAAATAATGAATTTGCCTTATAGTATCTTTATCAGTTCCAATTTTCTCCAAACATTGGGAAATGCTATCCGGGTCTACATTGTTAAAACTTGTGTCGAATGCAATGGGTATAAGAAACAATGGTGCATTCATTTCTATAGATTGTTCTATAATAATTCGGAGACTCGCAGGGCAATGCAGTAAACTCGGACTGGCAGCTTGGATCTTTGACAATATCTTATTGTAAAGATCATACATACGCTGGGGCTGGCATCTGTAAAAAAGTGAAATTTTGCAATTAAAACAAAAAATCAATTTATTTACTTATATGTTACTCTGTCCTGCAAATGCCTTTAGATTCGGACTGTTGTTTTAACCTCGTTAGGATACTGTGAGATTTTTGCTAGTTGCGAGTCTAGCAAGGATTAAACAGGAGCTAAATTACCGTTACAGTTTTTCGAAATATGGAAGAAATCCTGCATTAATATGCTATAAATATAAGGAGCTAAAACAGATTCCCAGGGAAATCGACGCGGAATTTAGCATGGGGGAATAGTTAACCCGCCAATGGTGACGCTAATTTGACTTTGATTAATGATGACGCCGGTCTCACGCACCGGGGTTTTCAACTGAAGTTTTTTCGAAACGTATGACTAATAGTTAATATTTTTTTTTATTATTTATCCACTTTGACAATAAAATAAAGATATTTAATCATTTTAAGCTCTTTTATTTCAATATTAAAGCTCACAGACATTTTTAAATAAAGCATTAAAAATAACAATGTTTTAGCAATTCATTTTTTAAAATTAAGAAAAAATAAAAAAATCACATATTAATTCAAGAAAATAATGTTAATTAGTCTTTCGACAATAGGAACTTTTATAAAATGAACAAAATTGGTATCCTTCCAAAAAAAAATCAAATATTGTTTCTTGTAGAAGATCTTCAAGCTGACGCTGGAAGCTTTCATAAGACATGCTGTAAAAAAATTTATATTATAAAACACATACATACATACACATGTAAACACACAAGTACACATATATTTACAATAAAACAGCAACAAATTATAATAAACTTAATAAAAACGCCAATAGTAAAAAAATAATTCTTGATTATTTTACTTACACAAACGGTGACTCACGGTCTCACACACCAGGGTAGAACAAAAATACACGAACTTGTGTTCACTAAGCAGTTTCGTCATGAACTGACGGTGGGGGATGTACTTAGCTACAGCTACTCGAAATCGCAACAAAAACGAATAACGGTGAAAAGAGTTATACGAATTTTTTAACACAACCGGTCTCACAGACCAGTGCGTCACCATTGGCGGGTTAAGGACTGGCAGAAGGTTACCATTTTGTTTGGTCATCGGACAACATGTAGCGGGTAAAATAAACCATAAATTTTATGCAAAAAAAATACATTTCCACTAAACCGCGAATATTTTTAATCCTGGCGAAATCACGATGCACGAAAATGTCGCTTCTGACCGTTATATTGATGCTCATATCCAAGATATCGCATATATAGCAAAATATATACAATCTCATATATCAGTGAAGGGGATGTAAGGTAGATCGCTTATAACTTAAGAACGGCCGGATGTATTTGAACAATTCTCACAAATTGGGAATGGCTCCTTACTAGAAATGGAAAGAAAATTCGGTGAAAATATGCCAATAAAAAGTAAATATTTTTTTTGTCATATTTTGTCACATATTTTTCGCATGAGATTTTTTCATATTTGACTTGAATTTTACGTTTGATAATATTTTTCACCTCACAACACTATTTTTTGGGAGTATTATATTCAAGTCGCAGTTATCGTCCGATTCTCAAGATATTTTCCAATGGGAAAGGGACAGAATTACAGCCAATTGTTTTTCAAGATGTATATTTGGACCAGAAATAAAAACTTTCCTGATCTTGCAGTGGTTTTAAAGGTTAATATTAAAAACCATGCATGAGGTTAAGGCTTAGGACAGAGCAGAAGTTTAGCATTTTGCACGGACCTTGAATTTTATTTAGCGGTTAAAATTAACCACAACTCTTGTGTAAAATTGTTTTGGATACCTGTCAGCATGACTTAGAGTATAAGGAAAGTATCCAAGGTAAAAACCAAAGTAGCATTTGTGCAGGACAATATGGCATTATTTCAAATAATCGACTAAAATGTGTTTGGACCTAAGGAGGCTTTTCAATATATTATAGTGTTGTGGGGTATCATATGGTCGGCCCCACACGCCAATAGCCATGACTTACTTGGTTTTCGTTTTTATTAAAGGTTTTCTTCGATTATTATTGTTTTCTCCTAAAAATATGCTTTAATTTATTATCATGTTATTTTTCTCATTCAAATTTGCTTTGTTCTAGAACCTCAAGAAGTGCAAACATATTGTATGTAATGTTCTTCTCAGCACTCGTGGATTACTACTTCATTGTTAAATCTAAATCAATCATGAATACATATGACGTCACACCTGTGTGCACATTGGCATTACCAATATTCGCGCCACTACAAGCATCGTGTATGTGCCCCCGCCGTCAAGTTGCTGCTGGCGAGAGAGAAATAAAATAAAAAAATAATTATAAAAATATTTGCTTCGTTTTTGATTTGAGCACCAACTTTGTTCGAATAATTGCACGCGGATATAAAAGAAGGATGCAACCATAGTTTTAAGAATACGTCGTTAAAGTTTTAGGCAAACTTTTTACTGTTGTACAAAAAAACCATTCATTGATATATCTTCTCTGTCAACTGTATGTATGCGCTTTCAGATTGCAGTTCTATGATTGCACTCGGACAAATATTTACGGAGGAGGACGGGGCGGTTGGCAATAGGCAAAAACGTAGACTAAAAACAATATGTTCCTTGTCCTGTTGTTAATTCAGTGGGTATAGTAACAGAATTAATTGTAATGAAAATCAAACGGGGAATGTCCCAACATTTGTTTATTTGTGACTACGTTTTTTCTGAGTATATTTGTTATTTTGTTTTGCCTTATTGTCATTCTCTGGCCACAATTCACTGAACATTGGAGATAAGTAGTTGACGTTTGCTTCACTGCAATTTTACAAAAACATATTCTTTCCACTCTATATCCAAAAATGATGCCCCCATGAAATTTTTAACGTACGTTTGCTTTTCTTTTTTCCAGACTTCCGTTTTTGCTTGATTTAATTAATGTAAAATTACTTCCGATCACTTGTGTTGCAGAACGGCTTTTCGTAAAAAAAAAATTGACAGAAATGACAAACGTTTGCAAAGGCGGCAATGCTGTTGTCTTCGATAACGATTTTTGTTAATCGCAATTGTGTATTGCCGGCAAAATGTAAAACAATTCTATTTCATAACGCTCAAAATTGTTGAATTCCAAAACTCTACAAGCTTTTCAATACTGTTAGAAATAAAAAACATAAAAACCGAGAATATGTCAAAGGTTTATTCACAACGCTCTGGAACAACGCTGTGACTCCCATTTTAATTTCCCTTGAGTAAATAGAAAATAAGTTAAGTAATTTCAATTAAACTTACATGCTGGGCGTTGCTTGATAGTCCATGATTAGAAACTCACTACAAGAAATATTTAACAACTTTCAAATACTTGGATTATAGAACGTTGCAAAATGACTTCCGAACGCGTTGATTGCAAGACTGTGAATAAAGCGGGAGAGAGGATGACAAAGCTGCCTTGATTTAATAACGTTGCAAACTTTCGATAACGATTGTTTATGGAAATTACAGGGCGCCTCAGTGTTCTCAGCCGGCTAACAGAATATCATCAGCGTTATTTGACTGTTACGCCGCCGATAACACTGTTGTTAACCTTGCCGTTGTTGTTCCAGTACCGATGAACGATTTTGGTTTATCGGAATTTTATTTTGCCGGGAATTTTTGTATACATTAACAGTTCTGGTATCCCACCAAAGGAATTTAAACCAAAAAAACTGTGTGAGTAGAAAAAGCCCCAGCGACAACGATTCAATGTACACTAAAAAAAAACAGCAATAGCTGTGGCAAAATGTAAACAAAAAATCTGAACTGATCTCGGTAAAATTTGTCGGAGGTATTTTCGAGCTGTATTTGGAGTGCATATTACTCATGTGAGGGACTTAATACCCCAAGTCGGATGAAGCGTATAAATGGAAGCTATAGCTATATCTGAACCAATTTTCATCAAATATGTAGTACTTGTTTCTAGGATAAATTCGGACGGAATGGTCAAAATTCAGTCCATTTAGGCTGATATTAGCACAATAAATCTGAATTCGGATAAAATTATATATATAGGAGCGCTTTATCCAAATCTGAACAGATGTCGATAAAATTTGGCATAGGTGTTTCAGAGCTGTATCTGATATCTGATGATGTTAGGGATTTAACCACCAAATCGGATGAAAAATACATATGGCAGCTATATCTGAACCGATTTTCAAGTATATTTGAAGTACTGGTTTCTAGGATGAATTCAGTCGGAATTGCCAAGATTGTGATTCCATGCAGATCATCAAAAGGAGCTATTGGTCTATCTCGTTTCCATTTGCCTGTTACAAACAAATGCACAAAGACATAATACTCTGACCACCTTGAGGTTTAGGGTATAAAAATTTAACACCGGATGCCGGAGCTGCTTTTTTATTTTTTAACTAGCGGATTGATTCCAAAACAAGATATATTAAAATTCCCAAATGGGAAAATACACATCATGTTGTTCCATTAATAGTGACGACGTTTTTGACCATGCTTGAAGCTCCTTCGTAAAAATTAAACTAAAATCGAAAATTGTTTAGCCATTCCAATTGAATTTTGAGGCGGCGGATCATATTTCAAATAAAAAGGAATTTGTGGACTCCCAACACTGAACCTTCTAACAATTGTGAAGTTTGATCCGAATAATGGAAATGTTGGCGGCGCAACAGCTTCGTGGTGGCGATTCTCACTGATGAACCCAGTAATTTCGATAAAAAGAAACAGTTATCGAGAGTGTGCTACGCATTGTGGTTCTTTCATCGTTTTTTGTTTACTTGTTGCAGCTTCCTTTGTTAAAAAAAATGCGTATTTGCTCTCAGGAATTTCTTACAGGGGATACATTATTGCATTACGTTGGGACTCTCCCCCTGTTTAACAATACAATTGATTACACCTTTAAAGACTCAAAACTGGCCAAGAGTATTTTTGTCACATATTGTTTGAACGAATGTGAAAATATGGAGGAATTATCTACTAGTATTCTAGAACAATGAATACTATAGTTTGTAAAATTAAATGCTGATGTAAACTTCTACATCTTTCTATAGATGTGTATACGACAATTCCCGCCAAAATATAATTTCGATAAGCCAAAACCTTTATCGATATTGGAACAACAACGACAATGTTAACAACCGTATTAATGGCGCCTCAACAGTCCAATCAGAGTTGATGATATTCTGGTTTCCGGCTGCTAAGACTAAGAGGCACCCTGTCTTTTCCATAAGTAATTGTTAACGAAGGATGACAAAATCTTTTCCCTTCATTCAACGTTTAGCAACCAACGCGTTCGGAAGCTTTGTTTACACCGTTCAATATTCAAAGTGTTTGAAAGTTGTTAAATATTTGTTGCAGTGAGATTCTAAACATGGACTATGAAGTAAACTCCAGCAAGTAAGCTCGAAATGAATTTTTTCTTTTTTTTATTATTTACTCGAAGAAAATTACAATGGAAGTTAAACCGTATTTGCGGAGCCTTGTGAATAAACATTTGAAATATTTTCATGTTTTTATGGAGCAGATTCTTACAATCGCGATTTTTTATTTCTAATGGTATTGAAAAACTTGTTAAGTTTTGGAAAATAAAAATGTTTTACATTTTGCCGGCAAAACACAATTGCGATTAACAAAAATCGTTGCCGAGGAAAACAGCAATGCCTCCTTCGTGAACTTTTGTCATTTGTCTTTTTTTTTTTGTTTTTTTTTTTTTGTTTTTTGTACTGAACGCCGTTCTGCCATACAAGTGATCAGAAATAATTTTAGATTCATAAAATCAAGCAAAAACAGAAAACTGAAAAAAAGGAAACGTGCGTTAAAAAATTCATGGTTGCACAATTTTTGGATGTGGTATGGAAGGAATATGTTTTTCGTAAAATTCCAGTGAAGCAAGCGCCATCAACTTATCTCCAATGTTCAATGAATTGTGGCCAGAGGACGACAATAAGGCAAAACGAATTAACAATTATATTCTGAAACCAGTAAGGAAAGCTCAAAAGTCGGGCGGGGCCGACTATATGATACCCTACACCACTATGCATATTTAGTAGAGCTCTCGTAAAAAGTTTTATACAGGGCATTTCAGAGCTCTATGAGATATTTGGTACAAAATCAAAATCTATCTAATTCTATCGTGCATTTTACGAACTATAGCTATCTCTGAACCGGGTTTCTCCAAATTTTACGTATTAGCTTCTAGACTGGTGATTTGGGCTGATATTGACCATTTAGTGCACATTTAACACGAAATCGGATGAAGATATATATGAGAGCTATATCCAAATATATATATATGAGAGCTATATATATGAGAGCTATATCCAAATCTGAACCGATTTCGATAAAATTTAAAACAGCTATTCCTGTGCTCCATCTAATACCTGGAACCAAATATCACGGTTGTGGAGTGAATATTACGAATGTATGGGACTAAAACTCTAAATCGGATGAAACATATATATGGTTGCTATATCTATATCTGAACCGATTTTCACAAAATTTGATATACTTGCTTCTAGGCTGAATTTGGTCCGATGTACTAAAATTCAGTCCATTTGGACTTATATCGGCCATTTGGTGCACAATTAACCCGAAATCGGATGAAGATATATATGGGAGCTATATCCAAATCTGAACCGATTTCGATAAAATTACAAACTGGTACCAAATATCATTCTTGTGGAGTGCATATTACGAATGTGAGAGGCTTAAACACCAAATCGGATGAAAGATATATATGGGAGCTATAGCTATATCTGAACCGATTTTCTCCAAATTTGATATACTTGCTTCTAGGCCGAACTCGGTTGGGTGTGCCAAAATTCAGGTAATTTGGACTGATAGTGGACATTCGGTGCACATTTAACCCGAAATCGGATGAAGATATATATGGGAGCTATAGCTGTTTCTGAACCGATTTTCTCCAAATTTGTTGTATATGCTTTAAGGCTAATCTCGGTCACATGTGCCAAAATTCGGGCCATTTGGGCTGATATTGGCCATTTGGTGGTCAATTAGTCCGAAATCGGATGAAGATATATATGGGAGCTATATCCAAATCTGAACCGATTTCGATAAAATTTAAAACAGCTATTTCTGTGCTCCATCTAATACCTGGTACCAAATATCACGATTGTGGAGTGCATAGTAGGAATGTGAGGGACTTAAAGATCAAATCGGATGAAAGATATATATGGGAGCTATAGCTATATCTGAACCGATTTTCTCCAAATTTGATATACTTGCTTCTGGGCCGAACTCGGTTGGGTGGTAATTTGGACTGATAGTGGATATTTGGTGCACATTTAACCCGAAATCGGATGAAGATATATATGGGAGCTATATCTAAATTTGGTCCGATTCTCACCAATTTCAATAGGGTTCGTCCTTGGGCCAAAAAAATATTGTTTGGAAAATTTCATCTCAATCGGATAATAAATGCGACCTGCATTTTGTTCACAAGAATACATGGACAGACGGACGGACGGACGGACGGACGGACGGACGGACGGACAGACGGACTGACATGCATAAATCGACTCAGAAAGTGATTCTATGAAGGTTCTCAAAAGTAACTATGGGTCTATCTCGTTTCCTTCTCCATGTTACAAACAAATGCACAAAGACATAATACCCTTACCACTATGTGGTGTAGGGTATAAAAACGTAGTCGCAAGGAAACAAATGTTGGGACATTCCCGATTTGAGTTACATTGCAATTAGTTCTGTTTCTATACCCACTGAATTAGCAGCAGAACAAGGAACAACTTGTTTATTAGACTACGTTTTTGCATATTGCCAACCGCCTCTCCTCCTTCGTATAAGCATTTGACCGAGTGCAATCATAGATTTACAATGTGAAAGCGCAGACATACAATTGACAAAGGAGATATCAATGAATGGTGTTTCTGTTCAACAATAAAACGTTTATCTAACCTCATTACCGATATATTCTTAAAACCGATATTTTCTTTTAAAGTCTTGGTGCTCTGATCGCAAACCAATCAAATACTTTTAAACCCAGCAGTCCGCTGGCCATTACAATTTAATACCCATCCAAATGTATGCTATTTTGTCAATAGGAAAAAATGAAATAACATTGGTTAATACCATACAACTAGCATCCGATGCTATTACATTGTGAAACAAAATCCATATTAGAATGAAGAACAAAATATAATAAAATGTGTCCATCGCAATCGATAGATTTCGAACCCATCTAGCCTTCGCTTACAATGTCGGTAGATTTCGGACCCATCCAACATTCGCTTACATTGTCGGTAGGTTACGGACTCGTCTGACGGCCTAGGCCATCGCTGTGTAAATGTAAGTAGAAATTGTATACAGGCTTTGGATGGGTCGCATCTACATTGTCTGTGGTCTCAGATGGAAGATGTATGCGCAAAAAAAATCCGCTGAAAACTTTTCTCTTTTATTTTTTTTTGCACTCTCGCCAGCAACATTTTGACGAGACAGCCAATGTTGTTAATGTGCATTGTGCACACACAGATGTAACTTCATATATTAGATAGGCATTAGACGACAATTAGATGAATTGATGATTGATTTTAATTCAACAAAGAAGTCTGAGAAAAACATTACATACAATATAGTTGCGCTTTTTATACCCTACACCACAAGGTGGTCAGGGTATTATGTCTTTGTGCATTTGTTTGTAACAGGCAAAAGGAAACGAGATAGACCCATAGTTCCTTTTGATGATCGGCATAGAATCATTTTCTGAGTTGATTTATGAATGTCTGTCCGTCCGTCCGTCCGTCTGTCCATGTATTCTTGTGAACAAAATGCAGGTCGCATTTATTATCCGATTGAGATGAAATTTTTCAAACAACATTTGTTCGGCCCAAGGACAAACCCTATTGAAATTGGAGATAATCGGCAAAAATTTAGATATAGCTCCCATATATATCTTCGTCCGATTTGCCTTTTATTGTGCACCAACCGTGTAATATCAGCCCGAATAGTATGGAATTTTGCACATACAACCAAATTAGGCCTGAAAATAAGTATGCCAGATTTTATCGAAATCGGTTCAGATATAGCTATAGCTCCCATATATATTGTTCCTCCGATTTGTTATTTTTGTCCTCCGCAGCCGTAATATGCACTCTGTAACAACAATATTTGGGGAAATATATCAAATGCAGCTCAGAAATACCATTGCTAAATTTTATCGAGATCGGTTCAGATTTGGATATAGCTCCCATATATAACTTCGTCCGATTTACCTTTTATTGTGCACCAAACGTCTAATATTTGTCCAAATGGGATGGAATTTGGCACATACGACCGAATTTAGTATAGAAGGTAGTATGCCAAATTTGGTGAAGATCGGTTCAGATATAGTTATAGCTCCCATATATATTGTTCATCCGATTTATTGTATTTGTTACCCACAGCCGTAATATGCACTCCGTAACAACGATATTCAGGGAAATATATCAAATACAGCTCAGAAATATCTTTGCCAAATTTTATCGAGATCGGTTCAGATTTGGATATAGTTCCCATATATATTTTTATCTGATTTCAAATTAATTTCGCACCAAATGGGCAATACAAGTCCGAATTTAAAAGATACAAATGCTTCGGCACATTTAGTCCTTTGAACTTTAAATTAAAATTATAATCATAGCGTGTATGTTTGAATTCTCCCATAAAAACTTTTAATTATTAAGCGGAGCTCAACTAAATTAGCAAAGTGGTGTAGGGTATCATAAAATCGGCCCCGCCCGACTTTAGGACTTTCTTTTCTGGTTGAGGTTCTAAAACTTAAATTTAAATGAGAAAAATTACATGATATTATGTAAAACTCTATTTTTAGGGGAATGTAATAATAATTAAAGAAATCTTTAAACTTTTGTTTCGATCAAAAACCAGAAATAAACTGTACTTGACGGTGAACAAGATTTCATACTTCGTTGGCGTTTCAATTTTTCCCTACAATATTCTACAACTGCCTTTCTAACGGATAGTTTCGAGATCCTTGGAAAATATCAAAGTTAATTCCTATTAAATAAAGTATTGAGATATATTTCTTTACATTCAAATTTGGTTAGACTCTCAAAAATGTTTGTACCACATGTTCGAGTTCGGTTCATTATTCACGAAATTCCATAATGTTATCGACATGCAATTAAAAGTTAAAAAATGTACTGTCCCTGTATTTCTACACATGAACATGTTTTGGAGGTACCAGAAGGAGTGGACTGATATATTTCACCAGACCCTGGTGAAATTTGAAGACAATCGGACTCCTAAATGACATTTTATAAGAGTTGCAAATTATTTGAAATTTTGACCCTTTGTGGGGAAGGTACTAGAACGAGTGAACCGATATTTTCCATTTTCGCACCAGACCTAGCACTGACGCAAATATTAGGATCTGAAAAGTTGGAGCAAAAGTCGGATTATCGCCTCTCTTTCTGTGCAAAAAAAAAAAATATTTTACTGAAAATTTCGACCATTTGTGGGGGAGGTACCAGAAGGAGCGGACCGAAATATTTCATCTTAACACCAGACCTTGGGTTAATAAAAATATTGGGATGTGTGAAATTTGAAGACAATCGGACTCTTACACCACATATTATGAGGGTTGTAATTATTCAAAATTTTGAACATTTGTGGGGGAGGTACTTGATGGAGTTGACCGATATTGTCCATTTTCACACCTGATCTAGCACTGACGCAAAGTTAAAGCAAAATCGGATCCTTTCTCTTTCTGTGCAAAAAATTATTTTCCTTGAAAAATTCGACCTTTTGTGGGGCAGGTACCAGAAGGAGTGGACCGATATTGGCCATCTCCGAACTCGATCTAAGTTTAACAAAAATATTACCCAGTTTGAATCAAATCGGATACTCCCATCGAGAGTTATGGTGCGCACCAGTCAGACAGATGGACGGACATCGCCAGATCGACACCAAATGTTCTGAAACGGATTTGGTCCAAAGAGACCTAGGTTCCAAAACCGTTATTTCGACTAGGCACGTTTTGACCGTAGCAAACGATATATACCCTCTGTAGCCATATGACTGAGGGTATAATTAACATTCTTTGAAAATTCTGGTTGAAGTATTGAACATGAGATTTGTCTCCCTTTTAATATGCACATTAAACTCTTCCGAATATTTCTAATTTTTATGAAAAGGCATGAGTAGTTTATGTTTGCATTTTCTTGTTTTTTTGCTTGTATCTATTTTTATACCCTTCACCATACTATGGAGGGTATAGTAACTTTGTAATCCTGTTGGTAACTTCTCGAAATACTCATGTCAGACCCAACAAAGTATATATATTCTTGACACGCGTGATTTTAGCGACATTATTATCCGGTATTGTTTCAAATTTGGTATTTGAAGTTCGTAATGGATACTACAGCCTATGGCAGAAAATTGTCTGTGCAGGTCGAGGTCTTCGTATATATAATCGGTGTTTTGACTCTTTTAGGTACAATACCCACAGATTTTTGTGAGATGTCGTATTTGAAGTTCGTAATGGTTGCTACAACCTGTGCCAGAAAATTGTCTACGCTTGTCCAGGTCTTTGCACAGCTCCAATATAACGATACCTGCCTATATACGATATTTAGATGATTTTAGCTACTTTATTCACCGTTTATTTCAAGCTTCGAATTTGAATATGGTAATGGCTTATGACAAACAATGCCTATATAGGTCCACGTCGTATAGAACCCAAAATAACGGCTATATTCGGTATTTTTAAAATTTTAACAGAATTGTTTGAGGATTTTATTATTATTTTTTTTTTCAAAATTTCCAAATGGTGAAGGGTCTTCAAAGTTCGGCCCGGCTGAACTTACTGCTTTTCGACTTGTTAAGGTTTAAAACTTCGTAAAACCTCCGGAGCAAAGGTGAACACTCCTCTTGGTATGTTCATTATATTATTATCATATTCTTCAAAGTAGTATGCTATATGTTCTATGGCCTTAGGTACTCTTTATTATTTTGTTTTAAGTAATACTTATTAGTATTTAAGTAAATAAATTGTTTTTATTTTTATTGCAAAATGTCACTTTTTCACAGATGCCAAGCCCACCGTATGGATGATCTTTACAATAAGATATCGTCAACGATCAAAGATGCCAGTCCGAGTTTGCGGCAATGTTCTACGAGTCTCCGAATTATTATAGAACAATCATTAGAAATGAATGCACCATTGTACCTTATACCCATTGCATTCGACATAAGATTTAACAATGTTGACCCGGGCAGTATTTCCCAATGTTTGGAGAAAATTGGAACTGATCAAGATACTATAAGGCAAATTCTTTACTTATTTCAACATGACTCCCGTCGAATTGGCACCTGTTGCAAAATTTGGCAATCTCCGGATATAAAAGAAATACAAGGAATTGAATTTTGCCTCTTGAGAGTGGTTTCTATTTTGGTTCTGTCTTGGAGAAAATCAATGTTAATGCAGAAGATGGTATAATTTGGGAAGGAAAAGAGCTGCACTATTTGGTTTTTGAAGATCAAATTTGTCTTATGGCAAAAACAGTTGCTGCAATCCAGTCTGAAGTCGAGCAAGTGGAATTGCATGCATGTAATGCAGGTCTAAATATCGACAGAAAAAAAACCAAGATTATGTGTATATCAGACAACAACACCGAGCCTGTTAAGCTCAAGGATGCGGTATTAAAATATGTTCGCTATATTTGGTACCTCGACAGTATTTTTTGCAAAAATGGAGGCATATTTGCTGATGTGGCGAAATCCATACTGATTGCTAACGAAAATTTTACGGTAATGCGAGAATATTGGAAATCACCGAAATATTCGACCGAGGAAAAGATGAAATGTTTCAATACTTTTATAAAGCCGATATTACTTGATGGGTGTGAGACGTGGATTGAACCCAAAAGGGAGATGAAGAAGCTGCAAAAATTTGTAAATAAGTGTCTGAGAGAGATATTACAATCACGCGAGATCCCTAAAAGAGAACTTCTTACTAGGTGCAATGAAGATCCTATTGTATACCAGATTCGTTACAAGAAATGGCTATTTATTGGTAGAATCTTAAGAAAACCAAACACAATTATCTCCGCAAAGAGTTTCCAGTGGAATCCACAAGGCAAGAGAAACAACGGACGCCCAAAGTTTACGTTGCAGAGAACTGTTGAAGATAGATTGGAAAAAATTGGACCCACCTGGCCAGATTTGATACGTTTGGCCCAAGATCCTCATGTTTGGAAAAAGTTTCTAGATGTGTATATTCACTGTTATGCCGATAAGAAAACAGTTGAACAATTTCTTCAGGTGAAACATAATGAAAACGGAGACACAAAAAACTCTCTGTGAGATACCATGCCATTTTTCGTATTTTCCCCAGCAAAATTAATTCCCCATCAACCCATCCCACAAAAAAAAAAATTCAGATACAATTTTTTACACCAAATCTAAAATCGTCCTCAGAATAATTTTTTGTGAGAATATTGACAACATTTTAATTTGTGAAAAACGCTCATAAAACAAAACTAACGACATTTTGCGGCATCTTTAATACCTCATCAGACACAAAACTATTGGTCGTACTAGAAACTAGTAAAATAGTATGACAGTAACACTGAGGCAGACTAGCCTATTCCTACTAGAAACCTGTAAGGAAAGCTCAAAAGTCGGGCGGGGCCGACTATATGATACCCCACACCACTATGCATATTTAGTAGAGCTCTCGTAAAAAGGTTTATACAGGGCATTTCAGAGCTCTATGAGATATTTGGTACAAAATCAAAATCTATCTAATTCTATCGTGCATTTTACAAACTATAGCTATCTCTGAACCGGGTTTCTCCAAATTTTACGTATTCTTCTTCTTCTTCTAGACTGGTGATTTGGGCTGATATTGACCATTTTGTGCACATTTAACCCGAAATCGGATGAAGATATATATGAGAGCTATATCCAAATCTGAACCGATTTCGATAAAATTTAAAACAGCTATTCCTGTGCTCCATCTAATACCTGGTACCAAATATCACGGTTGTGGAGTGAATATTACGAATGTGTGGGACTAAAACTCTAAATCGGATGAAACATATATATGGTTGCTATATCTATATCTGAACCGATTTTCACTAAATTTGATATACTTGCTTCTAGGCTGAATTTGGTCCGATGTACTAAAATTCAGTCCATTTGGACTTATATCGGCCATTTGGTGCACAATTAACCCGAAATCGGATGAAGATATATATGGGAGCTATATCCAAATCTGAACCGATTTCGTTAAAATTACAAACATCTATTTCTGGGCTGCATCTTATATCTGGTACCAAATATCATTCTTGTGGAGTGCATATTACGAATGTGAGAGGCTTAAACACCAAATCGGATGAAAGATATATATGGGAGCTATAGCTATATCTGAACCGATTTTCTCCAAATTTGATATACTTGCTTCTAGGCCGAACTCGGTTGGGTGTACCAAAATTCAGGTAATTTGGACTGATAGTGGATATTTGGTGCACATTTAACCCGAAATCGGATGAAGATATATATGGGAGCTATATCTAAATTTGATCCGATTTTCACCAATTTCAATAGGGTTCGTCCTTGGGCCAAAAAAATATTGTTTGGAAAATTTCATCTCAATCGGATAATAAATGCGACCTGCATTTTGTTCACAAGAATACATGGACAGACGGACGGACGGACATGCATAAATCGACTCAGAAAGTGATTCTATGAAGGTTCTCAAAAGTAACTATGGGTCTATCTCGTTTCCTTCTCCATGTTACAAACAAATGCACAAAGACATAATACCCTTACCACTATGTGGTGTAGGGTATAAAAATCCCTGAAAATAATTACTAAAGATAATCGAAATATCGGAATCAAAATATGGGACACATACAAATTATATTTCTCATTTAAGGACCTAAGGTCTAATTAACAGGAAACAAATAAATACAATTTAACAGGTCGCCAACTATTCACAACAACGACAAAAAATTACCTCTGGTATTTTCTATTCTATTATTTCAAAATCTAATAAACAAACCTTCTGAAACCTAATAATTTGTTTTATTTACTTTTGTTGTTCCTGGACAAGTAAGTATGTAAATCTTCTACAATATCGAGAAGTAAATAAAATATTTAAATGAAATGCTGAGCACCTAGTAGAATTAAGAAGGTAAAGACATGCAATCATTGTCAAATTTTATATTCATAAATCCATGTTACAAGGTAAATTACAGAAAATGCAAAGGTGGATGTGCTAATTTCAAATTGCTTTAGATTCTTAATTTTTCCGTGGATGAGCTTACGTGGAAACATTTTGCCAGGTAGGTTTTCCAATCTAACCTATTGAAATCACAAAATTCCTGATTAGGTTAGATAATGTTATTAAAATCCTTAAATTATTTCCTGTTGAACGAAAAATACAACACGTGGTGGACGATCATGTAAAAGTGTTAGCAGGTCGGGATTATAACCTCTTGCAAAACATCTCTCTTTGGGAACGTTTACAACAGAGGTAAGCAAAATAGAAAAATAAATAATAATAAATAAATAAAGAGAGAAATAAGTTTGGATTCTTCTTTAGGTTTCATCAATCTTGTCTTGCATTGACAATCGTTTAAAACAAGTAGCAAGTAAAAAAGCAGTAAGTTCGGCCAGGCCCTCCATTACTTGTAACGAATGTAGAAATTTAAAAAAAAAACTTCGTTAAAAATTCAGTTAAAATCACCGAATATAACCATTATATTTGAGATCTAGGCAATATTCAATTACAAAACTTGAAAAAAATCCGGTTAATAGTGTAGTTAAAATCATCAAAATAACGCACATACGAAGACCTGAGCTGTAGTATGGAGGGTAACAGGCTGTAGTATGGAGGGTATATTATGTTTGTCGTTCTGTTTGTAACAACTCGAAATACACATTTTAGACCCCACAAGGTGTATATATTCTTGATCAGCATAAAATTCTATGTCGATTTAGCCATGTCCGTCCGTCTATTCGTCTGTGGAAATCACTTTAGCTTCTGAACGAAATGAAGTAGGTTGATAAAGTTTTACTCAAATGTATATTATGTCTGCAGGACTTTTGGTATTAAAAATGAGCCATGTAGGTCCATGTTTTGGTACAGCCCCCATATAATGGTACCTCCCTTTTTCGGTATTTTGGTGATTTAAGCTACATTATTCAACGGATTTGCTTCAAATTTGGTATTTGAAATTCATAATTGATACTACAATCTATGCCAGAAAATTGTCTAGTAGCAGGTCACGTTTTTCTATATCCCCCATATAACGTTACCTCCCGATATTCGGGTTTTTGATGATTATTATTCATTATCATCGAAATTGTTTCAAATTTGGTATTTGTAGTTCGTAAAGGTTACTACAGCCGATGAAAGAAAATTGTCTATGCAGGTCCACATCTTCGTATATCCTCCCCATAGACGATCATTTTCTACCGGTTTCATTTAAGGGGTGAAGGGTATTAAAAATGCGGCCCGGCCAAACTTGGCTGTTTTTTTTTACTTCTTTACTCTCATTTGTTTTGGCTCGGGAAGGTGTAAGGGAGCTGCTCCGTATGCAACCATTAGGAGTGTTCGTTTACTCTATAATTTGCAATTTTTTTTACTGGGAGCTGTTTGTTTACCAGGGGTGCTCAAGAAGAAATATCTGTTTTCAGTCAAATTTCTCTTTGCTTATTTAAATCAAGAACAAAACAGTGTTAAGTCATTATTTATACAAATATTTTTTATCCATTTGCTTTATAAACTATTTTGGCAAACATTCGTGTTTAAAAACAATTAAATAGAACAGTAAAATATAAAGAAAAACAGAATTTTAATTTTCTCTTAAATTATCTCTTTTTTCTCTTCATGTTCTAGAACACGGTTTTGAGCACCCCTGTTGTTTACCCAAAAGTCCAGTAAATGAGAGAGAGTGAGAGAGGCGAAATATATATAGAAATATGAGTTACTGAGAGATTGAAAATTTATCAAATATCGATCTAAGGAATCGGAAAAAAACTTATTTTCAACAATGGTTAAGCGAAATGTGAGAAAATATGAAAAATAAATAATATAAAATCGATTAATGTTAAATTGTTTAGATAGCTCAGCTGTTGCCTTACAAATGTTTTGCAAAATGCTGTTCGTTTACTTTTTACAATTTTTTTTCTCTCGAAAGAGAAAATCTGTTTTTTTTTTCTCAGTCATTTCTTACTGATTAAATGTTACTGGAAAAGTAATCGAACGAACCTTTTAATGAGAAGTTACAATACGTTATTATTGTTCTCTCAGAGGGGGTGTGGGCAATCTAGTAATCAGTAAGTGATGACGAGTATATTGCGCTCTGTTTCTCTTTTCCAGAACCTTCAAAAATGTACTTGCTTTGCCATTATTCTCCCGCTCTCGTTTGCTAGGCTATTGAGTAAATGCATCACATTCAGTAATATTCGCATATACGCCACACTTTTAGTATGAGTCGCTCAGACGACGTTTGACAAGGAAAGTGAACACAAGTATTCAAGTAAAAAAAAGTAGTTGTGAAATAAGGAAACATAAATAAATAAAAAACAAACCAAAAAATCATGGAAGAAAATAACAGAAAAAAAAAGTAAGTCCCAAATATTAATTTAAATATTTACAAAGAATTTAAAGGAGTACTAGGTGTTGGAACTGTTGCTTTGATTCTGCAGATTTCTATACTAATTATTGTGAAATTGTGTTGTTAGAAGTTTGTGTGCCGTTTTACATTTTTTTAGGATATCTGAAATATCGGCAACGAATTGTGTTTTTGGTCAACCTTCTGCAGCTAGTTTTCTTTCACACTTTTTGCGTCTTAAATAATAATTATATTGATGTTTCTCCAAGAACTGGAGATTGGGGTTCATGACAGTGCAGTGAAATGGTAAAAGTATTAGACTTTGTTGTGAAATTATTTTGTCGTTATATTAGTCAGTGCTCGATCATAGAATATTTTATTGCCCTAGTCATAAATATCGGGAACACTCTTGTGTTTTAAATAAGTGCAGCATAGTTTTTTGTGAACAGCAGGGGTGCACTGATAATAAAGGCAATGCCCAAGTGCTAATGCACTCAGTAGACAGAAGATAAGTGGGTGTTGTTCTAAGAATAAGATATCTTACGATTGATATTGTAGTTTAGCTCTTGAGAAAAATAAGATTAAGATTTGATCGAATTGGTCACCTTTGGCACGAGTTATGGTCTTCAAACGGCCAATGAAACCGTCACACGCTGCCCGAATGTTGCTCTGCGGTATTTTGGCCCATTTCCGGCGAAACGCTTGCTTGAGGTGATTGACAAAATACACAATAGTCCAACGGATTGGTATCCGGAGATTTTGGTGGCAATTGTGCGCTGGAAATGAAGCGAGGAACCTCATTTTGCAACCATTCTTGGGTGGCGCGTTCTGAGTGCGATGGTACTGAGTCCTGTTGGAATGTCCAAGGTCTGCGGCCAAAATGTTTGCCTGCCCAAGGCTTTAATACACCCTCCAGAATATTTTCGCGATAATATTCGGAATTTATTTTGATGCCACGGTCTACTAATACGAGCGGAGAGCGACCATCGGCTGTTATGGCGGCCCACATCATCACCATGACCGACGCTTGAGTTCTGGTGGCCAACCGAAGGCTAATAAACACGATCATTTTGTTTGTTTACAAACTGCTGGAGCTTATTTTTTAATATTTGCCGAATAGAGTATTGCGATATGTTCAGCTCACGAGCCATTTTTCGGCCACTGCGGCGCGGGTTTCGATCAAGTCGCTTCTTTACTTTTCGAACCATTTCTGCTGATGTTGCTGTTTCCTTCCGTCCACTTCCTTGACGTCGGGCTTCGCTACTAGGCTACCAGTATCACGGTAACGAGCGATGGTACGAGACACAAAAGATTTATTCACATTTAAATGCTGGAGTGCTCTAACGATAGTCACTTGTGGTTTGGTTTTCCAGTCAAATATAAAGAAATCACACTATCACGCTTGAATTCCATCTCGAATAACTTTTTTTCTGGAAAATTCTCACCAAAATGCTTTTGTAGGCTTGTAAACAATATAATGAGCTGTCACTGGAATAATTTTAACAGTTGTCGTACGAGTGGCTTAAAAATGACAGCAGTCTCAAGTTGGTTGCATTTTTTTATCTCACCCTGTATATAATATATACATTTTTAATAAATATATAATTTTTTTTGTTTTTGTGTTACCTTTATTAAACCTACATTTTGTCTTTGCAGATCCATTTACAATAAAATAGTGTCCGCAATGCAAGCAACTTGCCCGAGTTTCTTATATTGTAACTCAGTTCTACGAATCATTTCTGAACAATCCATCGAAATGAATTCACCATTGTTCCTTATTCACATTAAATTCGATCCAGCATTCGACATAGTTGATCGTAGTACAATTTCCCAATGTCTGGCAAAATTTGGAGTAGATGAAGCAACAATACTAGAAATTATTCATATTCTGTACGGCGAAGAGTCGTGTCGCCTTCGTATCTGGGACAGAAGCTGGCAACAACTGGAAATTAAGGAAAGAGAGCCAATTGAATTGCTCCTCTCGAGGATGATTTCTTTTTTGGTTTTACACTCAGTCTTGGAGAAAAGCAATGCCAATGCCACCGATGGTATAAGGTGGGGTGAAACGGAACTGCATCACTTGATTTTTCAAGATGAAATTTGTCTAATGGCAAGAACAGTTTCTGCTATACAAAGGAAGCTTCAGGAGCTAGCATTGAGCGCCCGTGAAGTGGGTCTACAAATTAGTGCAGAGGAAACCACGATAATGCGAATTTCGACCAGTGGCAAAACACCTGTCCGACTAAATGACGTTACATTGCGCGACGTGAAAACGTTTTGTTTCCTCGGCAGTATTTTCAGCAAATTTGGAGGAATAAAAGCTGAGGTGAAGCAGAGGTTATCCAGTGCTAAATATGTCTTTCAAGATCTTCGAGAGCGTTTTGTGTCTGCGGATACGATCGAGCAAAAAATGGCAATTTTCAATTCAAGGGTAAAACCTGTCCTGCTCTATGGATGTGAGACATGGAGTGAACCCAAGTGGGCAATGAAGAAGCTTCAAAAGTTTGTAAACAATTGCATGAGGGTCATGCTACCAACACACCCTCGTGACCAAAGGGAGCTCCTCAATAGATGTGGTGAAGATCCAATTCAATATCAAATTCGTTACAAGAAATGGCTATTTATTGGTGAAGTCCTAAGAACTCCAAACACAATTATGACGGCGAGGAGTTTTCAATGGAACCCCCAGGGCAGTAGAAGCGTAGGTCGGCCGAGTTTTACATTCAACAGAACCGTTGAGGATAGACTGCAAAAAATTGGTCCCACCTGGCCAGAATTAATACTTTTGGCCCAGGATTCCAATGTATGGACACAGTTTATAGAGCAATATATATACGGTTATGCGAATAGAAGAAAGGTTGAAGAGTTTCTCCAAGCGGCAAATATTAACACCGAAGTTGGCGAATGACAAATACTTGTAGTTTAAGAATAGTTTTTATTAAACTAATTTTTTTTTTTTCTAATTTCAAAATATATTGTTTTTTTTTTTTAACTATATACTTTTGTTGTTTTATATTAATCGTATATATCAAGTGTGTAACAGCTTGAAGCTACATTTGCAGAGCCGATGTCGGGTGGCCATATCCAAAAGCATTGTATTTTCACATAAAAACAAAATATTGAGAAACTATTCAAAAGTTTTTCATGGTATTTTCAAGAAAGGAGGTACTATTATATGGGTTCTATAAGAAGACGTGAACCTGTATAGGTAATTTGACGATGAGGTGATGCCCATTGAGAATTTCAAATACGTGTTTCTTTCGGCCGGGCCGAACCAAATAAAAAAAGCATAAAGTGGGTTATTCTGTTGCATGGGGCCATACCAAAACGGGAACCTCTATAGACAATTTTATACTTCAAGGATTGTCATCTACCAAATCTTCTAAAATACCAAATTTGAAACAATTCCGTGGGTGGCTGGAATTATTAAATTACCGAATATCGGTGGGTATCGTTATATGTGGCCCATGGAAAAACGTGGACCTATACAGGGTGAGATAGAAAAAGTAATAAAACATTATTAATACCCTCATCCTAAGGGCAATGGAAAAATTAGAACCAATTATGACCCACAAATACCAATTTTTAGACATAGTCGTGGGAAAATGTGGCAAAAAATCATCAAAATACCGAATATCGAGAGGTACCGCTATATAGGGCTATGCAAAAACGTGGACCTATACTTAAAATGTTTCGCCAACGGAACTAGAACCTATTATGACCAACAAATTCTAATTTTTAGACAAATCCGTGAAAGAGTGTGGCAAAAATCATCAAAATACCGAAAATCGAGAGGTTACGTTATATGGGGGCTATATCAAAGCGTGGACCTATAAATACAATTTTTCGCCACATGAACTAGGACCCTTTATGACCTACAAATACCAATTTTCAGAAAAATCCATGAATAAATGTGGCAAAAATCATCAAAATACCGAATATCGGGAGGTACCTTTATATGGGGGCTATATCAAAGCGTGGACCTATACATACAATTTTTCGCCACATGAACTAGGACCCTTTATGACCTACTGCAATAAAGTCAAACGCCATAATTTGTACATTTTTTTATACCCTCCACCAAAAAAGTATGGAGGGTATATTAAGTTCGTCATTCCGTTTGTAACTCATCGAAATAATCATTTTAGACCCAACAAAGTATATATATTCTTGATCAGCGTAAAATTCTAAGACGACTTAGCCCTGTCCGTCCGTCTGTTGTAATCACGCTACAGTCTAAACGAATTAAGATAGGAAGCTAAAATTTTGCACATATCTCTCTTTTTTCTGCAGGCAGGTCAAGTTCGAAGATGGGTTATATCGGTCCACGATATCGTATAGCCCCCATATAACCGTACCCCCTATATTCGGTATTTTGATGATGTTAGCCACATTTTTCAATGAAATTGTCTGAAAATCCACACAAGTAATTCCTTGTGGGTACTTTATACCTCGGCAGAGAACTATCTATATAGGTCCACGATATCGTAAATTCCCCATATAACGGTACCCCCCGATATTCGGTATTTTGTTGATTTTACTCACATTTTTTATCGGAATTGTCTGAAAATCCACACAAGGAGTTCCTTGTGGGTACTTTATACCTCGACAGAGAATTATCTATATAGGTCCGCGATATCGTATAGCCCTTAATAACGGTACTCCCCGATATTCGGTATTTTTATGATTTTACCCACATTTTTCAACGGAATTGTCTGATAATCCACACAAGGAGTTCTTTGTGAGAACTTTACTCCCTCAAAGAGAGTTGTCTGTATAGGTCCACGATATCGTATATCCCCCATATAGCGGTAGCCTCTGATATTCGGTATTTTGATGATTTTAGCTATATATTCCAATGGTATTCTCTGAAAATCCACACAAGGATTTCTTTGTGAGCACTTTAACCCCTGAAAGGTATTTTTCTATATAGGTCCACAATATCGTATATCCCCCATATAAGGGTACCCCCGATATTCGGGATTTTGATGATTTTAGCCATATTTCCCAATGGAATTATCTGAAAATCCACACAAGGAGTTCCTTGTGAGTACTTTACCCCCAGACATAGATTTGTCTAAATAGGTCCACAATAGCGTATGTCCCCCCATATATCGGCACCTTCCGATGTAAGGTATTTTAAAGATTTTAACAGAATTTTCAATAGATTTTATTTATTTATTTATTTTTTTTTTTTTTTGAATATTTTTTAATTCTTTCCAAATGGTGGAAGGTATTCAAAGTTCGGCCCGGCCGAACTAACTGCTTTTTTACTTGTTTTTTTTTTTTTTTTAAATTTCAAAGAATGTCGGAAATAGCATCAAATTTTAGGATAAGTTTAGATTTGTACGAATTGTTCTCCTTTGGCAGGAATTATGGCCTTCAAACGGCCAATGGAACCGTCAAACGCTGCCAGAATGTTGCTCTGCGATATTTTGGCCCATTCCCTTCGAAGTGCTTGCTTGAGGTGATTGTCACTTTGGTATTTTTTTAGTGCCAACCTTGCTTTCCAAAATACACAATAGTCCAACGGATTGGTATACGGAGAGTTCGGTTGCCATTGTGCGCTGGAAATGAAGCGAGGGACCTCATTCTTGTCCTGTTAGAATGTCCAAGGTCTGCGGCCAAAATGTTTGCGTGCCCAGAATATTTTCGCGATATTTGGCATTTATTCTGATGCCGCGGTCGATTAATACGAGCGGAGAGCGACCATCGGATGTTCTGGCCGCCCACACCGCCACCATGGCCGGCACTTGAGTTCTGGTGGCCAACCGAAGGTGCACTTTTTCTGCTGACCTCTTTGGCAAGTAAACACGATAATTTTGTTTGGTTACGAGACACAAAATATTTATCCACATATAAATGCTGGAGTGCTCCGACGATAGCCACTTGTGGTTTTCCAGCCAAATATAAAGAAATCACACTATCACACTTGAATTCCATCACGAATAACTTATTTTCTGGAAAATTTTCAACAAAATGCTTTTGTACGCATGTAAAGAATATAATGAGCTGTCACTGGGATAGTTATAACAACTGTCGGACGAGTGGCTTAGAAATGACAGCAGTCTGAAATTGGTTGCAGTTTTTGCATCTCACCCTTATATTTAAATAATCAAACAATGGCTGATGGTAAAATTCTCTAAAAAATTATGCGATCTCAAGACACTGTAACATCGGTCACCTGCATACATAGAAATCTTAGAAAAAAAAAACTCGATTATAATTTTGACCTCTAGATGCCAATCGTTATCAAAAAATGTCATCTAAAATAAATTTTTTCTAATGAAAACGAAAAACCAAAAAATTGGGAGATTGTAGCAAATCTTTTTATTCAGTTGCAAACAAGACGTTAAGGGAATAAGTTCAGTACAAAAAAAAAAAAATAAATAATAAATAAAAATCAAAAGTGAAAGTGATGCGATGGCGGAATTTAAAAAAATGGAACAAATGTTTTGTTTCATTTTAGTACTGCTACAAATTCTAGTTGGTGGCGTCCAAGCAAATGGGTAAGTTTTAAATGGAATTTCTTGCGCAGGAAGGCAGGGAGAGTGTTATATACGGGAATATTTTGTACAAAAAACACGTAAAAAGCTGTAAGTTCGGTCGGGCCGAACTTTGAATACCCTCGACTACTTGGAACAAATTTGGCAATTTTCAAAAAAAAAAAAAAAAAAAAATCTGTTAAAAAATCCGTTTAAATCTTACATGTACCGAATGTAGCCGTTATATTAGGGTCTATAGGACGACAAGAACATACATGGGCAAGTTTTGATCAGAATACCGAATATCTGGAGGTATCGTTATGCGGGGGCTATAGAAAGACGTGGAACTCTATGTGCAGTTTTCTGTCATAGGCTGTAGTATCCATTACGAACTTTAAATTCCAAATTTGAAACAATTCCGAAGAATATTGTCGCTAGAATCCTCAAAATACCGAATATCGGGAGGTATCGCTATATAGGGGCTATACGAAGACGTAGACCTTCACAGACAATTTTCTGTAGTATCCTTTACGAACTTCAAATACCAAATTTGAAACAATTCCGGTGAATAATGTCGCTAAAATCATCCAAATACGGAATATCGGGAGGTACCGTTATATGGAGGCTATACGAAGACGTGGACCTGCACAGGCAATTTTCTGCCTCAGGCTGTAGTATCCATTACGAACTTTAAATACCAAATTTGAAACAATTCCGGTGAATAATGTCGCTAAAAACATCAAAATACCGAACATCGGAAGGTATAGCTATATGGGGGCTATACCAAAACGTGGATCTGCACAGACAATTTTCTGTCATAGGTTGTAGTATCCATTACGAACATCAAATGCCAAATTTGAAACAATTCCGATGAATAATGTCGCTAAAATCGTCAAAGTACCGAATATGGAGAGGTGCCGTTATATGGAGGCTATACGAAGACGTGGACCTGCACAGGCAATTTTCTGTCTCAGGCTGTAGTATCCAATTCAAACTTCAAATACCAAATTTGAAACAATTCTGATGATTAATGTCACTAAAATAATCAAAATACCGAATACAGGGAGGTACCGTTATATAGAAGCTATACGAAGACCTGGACCAGCCTAGACAATTTCCTGTCATAGGCTGTAACATCCATTACTAACATCAAATACCAAATTTGATCAAGAATATAAATTCGTTCCAAATGGTGGAGGGTAGTCAAAGTTCGGCACAGGCGAACTTACAGCTTTTTTAGTTGTTTTTTTTTTGTGGTATGTACATATTTCCGAATCACCGCTCCATGTTTGACCAAACCGTGCAAAATGGGATACTAATTTTCAAATCAAATTTCAGAATTAAAGCTCTATTGGTCCATTCAAATCCAAATTGTACCAAATTTGGTACAGATTAGTACAATTTGCTAAAACTAACTCCATATCCCAATCCTACACTACGACAGTAACCTAATATCCAAATTTCAGGATACCGGCCACCCAAATCTAAATTGTACCAAATTTAGTACCATTAAGTATACATAAGTACAAATTTCCATAGCTACCTACATCATACCGTCCAATAGATATCTTATTTTCAAATATCAGAATTCCAACTCGACCGGTTCTGCCAACATTTTAGTTGTATCAAATTTAGTAACATTTAGTACCCCTAGGTACGAATTTCCAAAACTTCCTACATAGCCCAGTCCATCAATCCTACACTTGGCCATGGTAATGGTAATTTTAAACTTTAGGATTTCAGCTCCATTCAACCTGCTAAATTTAAATTGTACTAAATTTAGTACCGTTTAGTACTTTTCGTACACACTTCAAAAACTACCTCATTTCTCATTCCAAATTTCAGTACCGTTCACATGATACGAAATGGTACCAAATGTGGTACATTTTAGTACTTGTCGTACCGTTCTAGTACGAATTTCTAAAAACCCAGCCGTTGCTCCAAATTCAAATTGTACTAAATTTAGTACAGTTTAGTTCTTTTCGTATACATGAGTACAACACTTTCAAAACTACCACCTTTCATCGACTTAACTCCTCAACCTTGATTCTCATTCCAAATTTCCGTACACATTTTAGTACTTTTCGTACATTTATGGTGCAAGTTTTCAAAAATCGATTTGTGCACCTATCATACACTACATCAGTGACCCTTGTTCCAAATTCCAACTCTACTGCTTTCTAAAATACAAAAGGATACCATATTTAGGACCTTTTTGTACTTTCCGTACGAATTTCCAAAAACCCAGCCCTATTTGACCCCTTCGGACCAAGAGTGAACCTTACCAAAAATTTCAAGATTCTAGATTCAGTCACATATTTCAAATTTCACTGAAATTTGACAGATTTAGAGTGTTTGGTGCATTAAATACCTAAAATCGGCCAAAAGTATATATGGGAGCTATATCCAAATCTAAACCGAAGTCACAAATGTCAGGATTCAAATCATCTAACTTTAAAATTATTTGTTATCTCTATTTCCCCCCCATCAGATACTATACAATAGTAGCACCCGGTACCATACAATCCGCTACTGAATACCGTGTAGCGGTTGCAGCTTTCGATACCTACGAAACGGCACGGATAAAAATCGGAATATCTGGTCCATCGTACAATGAAACCAAGACGATTGAAATTCCGGTCATGGGATCACAACTGGTTGACTTTGAGGTGCCCAAATTGAGGGAAGGCATCTATGAGCTACAGACCGAGGGTCTTCAGGGCCTGATCTTCAGACGAAATGCCACTTTGATTTTCGAACCCTACTCCATCAATGTTTACATTCAAACGGATAAGGCCTTGTATAGACCAGGAGATTTAGTACAATATCGTATTATAGCCTTGGATGCTGGTGCAAAACCTGCCAGATTTTTCGAACCGCTAACATTGGTGATAAAAGACAGTGAGGGAAATCGAATAAAGAAAATCAAAAATTTGGAATTCTCCAAGGGTGTTCATAAGGGAAAGCTGCAATTATCGGAGCACACAATGCTAGGGAAATGGTCTATTGAAATTTTAGATGTCGAAGAGCCACGAGATCAACCGCAAGTTCCAATGTACCCCGGTTTTTCAAGACATCCCAACCCCAATATCCTACCAAAGGCAAAGAGCACAAAGCACTTTGAAGTTGCCCGATATGTGTTGCCCAAATTCAGTGTGGCCATTGAAAGCGATAAAAAGGTGGCCATTTTAGATCGTAGTTTCAAGATTACGATACGTTCAAAATATGTTCATGGCCGACCGGTTAATGGCCATGTGAGTGTCACCGCCTACTTTGCCGGCTATCATGGAAATAACGGTGGATGGCCCAAGGCCGAAAAACATATGGATTTAGTCAATGGCAAGGCTGTGACGGAATTCCATTTCATGCAGGATATTATTTTGGAACAGTATCAACCCGTATTAAACCTATTGGCCATAGTTACCGAACAGCATACGGGATTGCAACAGAATAGCACCACAACAATTGAACTTGATGTTGCCCGTTATAGCATCGATGTTCCCCAACTGGAGACTAGCTATGTGGCCAATAAACCCTTTGAGATTCGAGCTATCATTAAAAAGCTCAACGGCCAACCGATCACCAATGCCCGGTGTACTGCTAAACTGCTATTAGACTATCAACCCGACAACTATCGTTATAATCAATTTCAAACCCTAATTTTCGAAGCAGATGTAGATCGAAATGGTCTGGCCATATTTAAATTAAATTTCACCCGACCCACTTATTATACGGCTGCCATAATGTATGAAGAAAAAACCCAAGCCATTGGCGGTTTTGCTGTTGTGGAACCCAATGCGTGGGATGTAAAGGAGAAACCAAAGCATTCAGCACCTGGTCATGTGACCACGGTTAGATCTGCCGTGGGGCCACTAAAAGTATCCTCCCGCACAAATAAGTAAGTACGACTGCTATTTAAGCTCTATTTTTATTTCAAACGACAGAATTTAATTTTTGCTCAATTATTGCAGGAACAAATAGTAGTAGTAGTAGTAGTTATGAAAGTAGCGTTAAAAACTGAAGACACCTGTTTCGACGTTTTGAAAGCTTAGATCGCAAAGTAACCTTAAACCGTTTCTCCACAACATTTACACAATTCTACATTTCTGAAACCCATATTTTTTTGGATACTTTTTTAATTAATTTTGAAAAATAACAAACATTTATAAATGAAACAAACAGTAAGTTCGGCCGGACCGAACTTTGAATATCCTCCACCATTTGGTAATAATTTGGAAATTTTCCAAAAAAAAAAAATAATTTTCTGCTAAAATCATAAAACTACCGACTACCTACGAAGACATGAACTTGCATCGGCAACTTTTGTCATAGGCTATTACAATATTCAAATACGAAATTTCCGGGAGAATACAGGGTGAGATAAAAAAACTGCAACAAAGTCAAACGCCATAATTTTTACAGATTTTTTAAAGTTTTTTGAATGAAAGCAAAAAATGTCGGAAATAGGATAAAATTTTAGAATAATTTTAGATTTGTTCGAATTGGCCACGTTGTGCACGTATTATGGCCTTCAAAGGGCCAATGAAACCGCCACAAGCTGCTCAAATTTTGCTCTGCGGTATTTTTGCCTATTTCCGGCAAAGAGCTTGCTTGGTATTTTTAGTGCCCAAATTGCTTTCCAAAATACTACAACGGATTGGTATCTGGAGATTTCGGTGGCCATTGTCGGCTGGAAATGAAGCGAGGAACCTCATTTTGTAACCATTCTTGGGTGGCGCGTGCTGAGGGCGATGGTGCTGAGTCCTACTGAAATGTCCAAATTCTGCAGGCAAAATGGTTGCGTTCCCAAGGCTTTAATACACCCTCCAGAATATTTTCGCGATAATGTTCGGCATTTATTCTGATGCCACGGTCGAGCGACCATCGGCTGTTATGGCGGCCCACACCATCACCATGGCCGGGGCTTGAGTTCTGATGGCCAACCAAAGGTGCACATTTTTAGCTGACCTCTTTGTCAGGTAAACACGATAATTTTGTTTGTTAACAAACTGTTCTGCTAGACAACGAATGTTTTCTCATCGGAGAAAACCAAATTCGGCAGTTCACCACTTTCGGCCAGGCGAAGCAACTCTTTTGAGTCTATTTTCTTTCTGTTGGCATGTAAGTTCTTGCACTTTTTGGAATTTCAATGGCTATATGAAGAGGGCTATACGAAGACCTGGACCGGCATAGACAATTTTCTGTCATAGGACTTAGAACCCATAACGATCATCAAATACCAAATTTGAAAGGATTCCGGTAAATAATGTCGCTAAAATCATCAAAATACCCAATATCGGGAGGTACCGTTATATGAGCGCAATACTTAGTCGTGGACCTACATGGTCCATTTTCTGTCTTAAGTCGTAGTTGCTATTACGAACTTTAAATTCCAGTTTTGAAACAATTCCGGTGAATAATGGCGCTAAAATCATCAAAATATCGCATATCGGGAGGTACCGTTATATGGGGGCTATACGAAGACGTGGACCTACATGGCCCATTTTCAATACCAAAAGTCCTGCAGACATAATACACATTTGAGTAAATTATTATCAACCTACTTCATTTCGTTCTGAAGCTAAAGTGATTTCCACAGACGGAGAGACGGACGGACATCGCTAAATCGACATAGAATTTTATGCTGATCAAGAATATATACTTTCTGGGATCTGAAATGTAAATTTTCGGGGTGTTACAAACGGAATGACATACCCTTTATACTTTGGTGGAGAGTATAAAAAGGGCATAAGTGTCAAAGGTGTGTAGCAACTTGCCCACCCCCCCCCTCCCCCTCTGTTTCGATTACTTTCAAAAAATTTTTCAAAATGCCGAAACACGTGCCTTCGTCTTCTATCAAAAGCTGCTGAATTTCTCCAGTAATTATTGAAATAATTGAATTATGTCGCACAGTGTAATCAATCAATATCTTATAACTCGTATCAGAACTATAGAACATTTAGAAGTGTTATCTCATATTCCTCTCTCTCTCCCGTTCTCTCTCTCACTCTCTTTCTCTTTAACAGTCTCAAACTTGGTGAAGAAATCGTTCTCGACATTGCATCAGATGACCCCCTGCCATATTTCTGTTATACCATAATGTCCCGCGGTAAAATAGTCCAACATGATGTGGTAACCGTTGGCGGCGGTAGGAAATCGTACGAGCTGAAGATTCAGCCAACATTTGAAATGGCGCCCGAAGTAAAAATATTTGCATATTTGATCGATGATGGTGAAATGAAATCGAGCACAATGACTCTCAAGGTGCCGGGAACATTTAGGAATCAGGTAGGTTTGGTGTTAATTAATAATTCGTCAGACTCGGAAATCTTCTTTTTATTTCCATTTTTTGTACCCTACACCATGGTATGGAGGGTATTTAAAGTGTGTCAGTCCGTTTGTAACACCTCGAAATATACATTTTAGACCCCACAAAGTATATATATTCTTGATCAGCATAAAATTCTATGTCGATTTAGCGATGTCCTCCGTCCGTCTGTCCGTCTGTGGAAATCACTCTAGCTTCCGAACGAATATAACGGTTCTTTCCTATTTTCGGTATTTTGGTGATTTAAGCGACAGTATTCACCGGAAATGCTATAAATTTGGTTTTTGAACTTCGTAATGGCTCCTACATCCTAAGACAGAAAATTGTCTATGCAGATCCACGTCTTCGTATAACCCCCATAGAACGGTACCTCCCTATATTCGGTATTTTGATGATTTAAGAGACGTTATTATACGGAATAGTTTCAAACTTGGTAATTGAAGTTCGCAATGGATACTACAGCCTAAGGCAGGTCCACGTGTTCGTATAGCACCCATATAACGAAATTTCCCGATATTCGGTATTTTGATGATTTTAGGGACATTATTCAATGGAATTGTTTCAAATTTGGAATTTACAGTTCGTAATGGATACTACAGCCTAAGACATGTTCCCGTCTTCGTATGGCCCCCATATGATTTTAGGGCCATTATTCACCGGAATTGTTTCAAATTTTGAATTTGAAGTTCGTAACGGATGCTACAGCCTATACCATAATTTTTTTTATGCAGGCCCACGTCTTCGTATAGCCCCCATATAACGGTTCATTCCGACATTTGGTATTTTGCTGATTTTAGCGACATTATTCACCGGAATTGTTTCAAATTTGGTATTTGCAGTTCGTAATTGATACTACAGCCTATGACCGAAAATTGTCTGTGCATGTCCACGTCTTCGTATAGCCCCCATATAACGGTACCTCCCTATTTTCGGTATTTTGGTGATTTAAGCGACATTTTTGACCGGAAATGGTTCAAATTTAGTATTTGCAGTTCGTAGTGGATACTGCAAACTAAGACAGAAAATTGTCTGTGCACGTCCACGTCTTCGTATAGCCCTCATAGAACGGTACCTCCCTATTTTCGGTATTTTGGTGATTTAAGCGATATTATTCACCGGAATTGTTTCAAATTTGAGAGTTGAAGTTCGTTGTGGATACTACAGCCTAAGACAGAAAATTGTTTGTGCAGGTCCACGTCTTCATATAGCCCCCATAAAACTGTACCTCCAGATACTCGGTATTTTCATGATTTGAACGATATGTTTCACCGGAATTGTTTCAAACTTGGTATTTGAAGTTCGTAATGGATACTACAGCCTGAGACAGAAAATTGTTTGTGCAGGTCCACGTCTTATTATAGCCCGCATATAACGGTACCTCCCGATATTCGGTATTTTGATGTTTTTAGCGACATTATTTTTCGTAATTGTTCCAAATTTCGTATTTAAAGTTCGTAATGGATACTACAGCCCAAGGCAGAAAATTGTCTGTGCAGGCCCACGTCTTCGTATAGCCCCCCCATATAACGGTTCCTTCCTATATTTGGTATTTTGATGATCTTAGTGACATTATTGACCGAATTTTTCAAGTTTCGCATTTGAAAATTGTAATGCCTTATGACAAAAGTTGCCTATGCAGATCCACGTCGTCGTATAGAACCTAATGCATTCAGCTACATTCGGTATTTTTAAGATTTTAACAGTATTTTTAAAGGATTTTATTTCAATTTTTTTGAAAATTGTTAAATTTGCTCTTAACGTTGGAGAGTATTCCAAGTTCAGCTGAACCGAACTTACAACTATTTTGTTTTTTCTTTTTTTTTTTTTGATAGTTGTTAATCGATAGTCCCTTAGCAGCAAATGCCAGCGATGAGATCACTTTGAACATAAAAACCGACCCAGATTCCTATGTGGGTCTGCTGGCCGTTGATCAGAGTGTTTTGCTAATGAAATCGGACAATGATCTAAATGGGAAGGAAATTTTCAAAGATTTGGACAAATTTCAATCACAGTCTCCGAACAGCAATGGCCGTCATAATATGTATCCGGGTAAAGATTCGGGTTTTGTGACAATAACAAATGGTTGTTATCAACATACGGGTAAGTTCCTCGAATATAGAAGCAGGCAAAAAGGTAGGAGAGGACAAACAAATTCTAAGACAAGTTTCAATTTTACAGTTGTCAATCACTATGCAGAACGGCAACACTATTACCCTGTTGGTATGACTGCCAGTGCTCCAGCTAGTATGTCGTATTCTGCACACAGAGCAACAGGTGCTTCATACGGAGCACCGAACCAATTGTTCGTAAACACTTTGTGGAGACATGGATTTTCGATGATATTGAAAGGTGAGTTGTTTAAGTTCTTTTTTTCGCGTGTCCTATGGAGGCAGTCACAGGTCCTCTGGAGATGGAGTATAGTACCGGTATATATTTAGGAACTCCTTCAGAACTCTGATGATTGAGGAAGTAGAACGTTAAATTGAAGCCACATAGATGAAAGCTTTGAAGGTTCCGCCTCTTCGAGGTTTACAATAAATGTGGTGTTCTTAGGCTGTTTTCCGCTTCCTTCTTCGTTTAAGATCTCTCTCCCTCTCTCTCTCTCTCTCTCTCTCCCTCTCTCTCTCTCTCTCCTTATAAATACTGGGACTGTAATTTTCAATTTGTTTCCATTTTAGCACCGATTCCAATGGCTGGGCGAATTTTACCAAAACCATACCGGACACCATGACCTCATGGATTATCAGCGGATTTTCTCTGAACGAAAAAACAGGATTTGGTATCACCGAGAAGCCCATCAACATAACCGTCTCCCATCGCTTCTTTGTGACCACAAGCCTTCCCTATGCCGTGAAACGCGGTGAAATTCTCCAAATACCTGCAGTGGTGTTTAACAATATGAACGTGGATGTCGAGGCTGAAGTAAGTTTGGAAAATTCCCATGATGAGTTCGATTTCGTCAATGCTCAGGGTGAGATTATGACGGAGCCAAGACTAAGTCATCAGCTGGAGGTGAAATCAAATTCGGAGGCCAGTGTTTCATTTAGGATCTATCCAAAGGTAGTGGGTGAAATAACATTGACATTGAAAGCCATCAGTCCGTTGGCGGGTGATGCAATACAACAAAAACTCAAGGTCGAACCTGAGGGTATAACTCAATATAAGAAAGAGGTTCGGTTTTTGAATTCAAAGCAATCGGAGTCTTTGAGCCACACTTTTGAAGCCCAAATACCCTCAAATGCAGTGGGTGATTCGGAATATTTGGAATTAATTGCGGTTGGTGATATTGTGGGTCCAGCCCTGGAAAATTTTGAGAACACGGAAAAAATGCCATTTTTTGGTGGTGGAGCGGAAGACAATATTATGGTATTCACTCGGAATCTTCTGATTTTGCAATATCTGGAAATCATGCAGTTGGAAAGGCCCCAGCTCAAGGAGAGTATTAAAAGTAACATGGAAACTGCCTATCAGCGGCAGCTAAGTTATAAACTTGCCAATGGTGGCTACTGCCGATTTAGTCGTTATTACTGTCGCGATCAAACGGACAATCGCGTGACAGCTCAGGTTGCTCGATCCTTTATCCAGGCTCAAAAGTACATAACCATCGATCGGAAAATCATTGATAAGGCCTTGGAATATTTGGCTGACATGCAAACTGCCAATGGGGGCATTGCTCGAAGTGGATACAATTTCGATGGAAGTGAAGGTATGATCGAAACTACAGCCCATGTCCTGCTGGCCTTCCTCGAAGATAAGGTAGATTGGTTTAGTTTTATAAAAAAAAAACATCGAAATTTTGTGACGATTTTTTGTTTTTGCTTTCAGGACTACAGGACACGGTATAGACAACAAATCAGCAAAGGTGTCCAGTATTTGGCACACAACTCCCACGACATACCCGATAATTCTAGCCTGGCTCTGACATCGCTGGTATTTCATAAAGTCAATCATCCTTCATTAACCCGATCGTTGGAACATTTAGATTTTCTATGGACATATTGGTCCACCTTAAACCTAAGACATGAGAGGGACGATTTGGAAACTATGGCCTATTACCTGCAAATATTATTGGAAACATCGGTAACTTCGGCTGATGATAATCGATTACTGGCCATTGTCAAGTTTTTGATAAATCGTGACAATAATCAAGGAGGTTATGCCGCCGGCGCTGTCACTACGCTGGAGTCCTTAGTTAAATTTGCCCAGAAATATAATACCGCCGCCAAGGATAACATCAATATTCAATTCGAAGCCAGAAATCAAGCCGAAACATTGGTCAGCCAGAACTCATTTCAGATTAATGGCGAAGACGATATTCATTTGAAATCATTTGAGGTAAGCCACGTTTTTTCATGGTCGAAATAAGAAGGTGGCCTTGGGCAAGCATATTTTTAGGATTTTTATACCCTCCACCATGAATGGTATATGAACTTTGTGGATCAGCGTAAATTTCTAAGACGATCTAGCGATGTCCGTATGTCTGTTGTAATCACGCTATCTTTCGAACGAATTGAGAAGGAAGGCTAAAATTTTGCATACATGCATAGTTTACCAATAGGCAGGTTAAGTTCGAAAACGGTCCATGTCGGTACACGTTTTCGTATAGCCCCCATATAACGGTACCCCCCGATATTCGATATTTTGATGATTTTAGCGACATTATTTACCAAAATCGTTTCAAATTACGTATTTGAAGTTCGTAATGGGTACTACAGCCTATGACAAACATTTTTGCATCCAGGCCCACGTCTTCGTATAGCCCCCATATAACGGTACCTTCCGATTTTCGGTATTTTGATGATTTTAGCGACATTATTTACCGGAACTACTTCAAATTTGGTATTTGAAGTTCGTAATAGATACTACAGCATAAGACAGAAAATGAGCCAGGTAGGTCCACGTCTTCGCATAGCCCCCATATAACGGTACCTCCCGATATTCGATTTTTTGATGATTTTAGCGACATTATTCACCGGAACTATTTCAAATTTCGTACTTGAAGTTCGTAATGAATACTACAGACTATGACAGAAAATGGGTCAAGTAGGTCCACGTCTTCGTATAGCCCCAATATAAAGGTACCTCCCGATATTCGGTATTTTGATGATTTTAGCGACATTATTTACCGGAACTACTTCAAATTTGGTATTTGAAGTTCGTAATGGATACTACAGCATAAGACAGAAAATGAGCCAGGTAGGGCCACGTCTTCGTATAGCCCCTATATAATGGTACCTCCCGATATTCGGTATTTTGATGATTTTAGCGACTGTATTTACCGGAATCGTTTCAAATTTCGTATTTGAAGTTCGTAATGGATACTACAGCCTAAGAAAGAAAATGGATCATGTAGGTTCACGTCTTCGTATAGCCCCCATATAACGGTACCTCCCGATATTCGGTATTTTGATGATTTTAGCGACATTATTTATCGGAATTGTTCCAAATTTGGTATTTGAAGTTCGTAACGGGTACTACAGCCTATCACAAAAATTTCTGCATCCAGGCCCACGTCTTCGTATAGCCCCCGATATAACGGTACCTCCCGATATTCGGTATTTTGACGATTTTAGCGACATTATGTACCGGAATTGTCTCAAATGTTGTATTTGAAGTTCGTAATAGGTACTACAGCCTGTGACAGAAAATTGTCAGTGCAGGTCCACGTCTTCGTATAGCCCCCATATAACGGTACTCCCGATATTCGTGTAGTCCCCATATAACGGTTTTCATTTAAGTGGTACTTTTCGGAATTTTTTTGAAATTTTTCAAGTTCCTTCCAAATGGTGGAGGATATTAAAAGATCGGTCCAGCCGAACTTGGCTGCTTTTTTACTTGTTCTATACTAAAATTTATTTCAACTTTTTTATATTCTCTGCAGTTGCCGAAAGAAACTCGAAAATTATCTGTGTCCGCCCAAGGCGCGGGTAGTGGTCTCCTGCAGTTCACATATCGCTACAACGTTATGAGTGCGGAGGAAAATACTGGTTTTAACCTGACCTATGAACTTCGTAGCGATGACTCAAAGGACTATTTACAGATGACTATTTGTGCCGAATACACTCCCCTCGATATTGAAGGAGAAGAAGAAGAAGATGGTATCGCATCAAATATGGCTGTTATGGATATCCACTTACCATCCGGCTATAAAATACATGAAAACGTTTTGGAAAAACTCTTGGATGTGGAACGAATACAAAATGTTAATGGCCTCAACGAGAATACCATGATTCGTGTCTATTTCGATTCCCTGGCGAGGGGACAACGTCAATGTTTGACTACCACGGCTGATAGATATCATCAGGTTGAGAAACTGCAACCGGCTGTCATTACCATCTATGATTATTACGATATCACAAAGAGAGCAATGATTTTTTACGATATTAAGAATGCCCTCTCGGTGGAGTAGAGATCCCAATAATCAAAACGAAATTGTGAAATAGAGACAGAGAGAGAGAGAGAGAGAGTAACCGAACAAAGTAATGACCAACAGATGGAGCGATCAATTGGCACGTGCCATTTCTTTGTTTCAAATATATGATCTATATTTATCTAAATATATACAATAAAAACAACAATTCCAAGTTATTTGTTTTATTTGACATGGTGACACTAGGAAGCAGCTGGCTGGTCGATTTTTCAATTTTAGGCTTAATCTGTGTGATTAATTTAATTTTCAAGAGCTCTAAAATTCGGGTAATTTAAAAAAAAAATTGGATAACTGAGAAAAAATTCGGTTTTGGCCCATGATGTTATGATATCAGGAATGGTCTGGTGATCGGAAACAACTTTAATTTAGTAAATACTCTCGATTTTCAGTTTATTCCAGAGGTAGTTATTTTTACCCTAATTCCGGGAAGGTATTTTTTCCTTGGGTGCAGACCCGCATATCCGGATATGTGACCCAAAATTCAGGTTCAAAAGTTCCAAATGTTAGACTCGGTGGACAACATTGGTATCATTTGAAAGCTAATGAATACTCATATCCAACAAGTGGCCTGATCGATTTTTTTTATAAAATCTCCCAACAGTCGAAAAAGGCCCCATCTTTGTAGCCCACAAAATATATGCCAAATTATAGTTGACACTACAGGGTGAGATGAAACAAGTAAACAAGCTGTAAGTTCGGCCGGACCGAACTTTGTATACCTTCCGGCATTTGGTACAAATTTGGCAATTTTCAAAAAAAATAAAATCCGTTAATAATCCTGTTAAAATCTTAAAAATACCGAATGTAGCCGTATATTAGGGTCAATACGACGAAGTGGACCTGCATAGGCAACTTTTGTCATAAGCTATTACAATATTCAAATGCGAAACTTGAAAAAAAAATCTGTATATCATGTAGCTAAAATCATCAAAATACCGAATATAGGGAGGTACCATGGGGGTTGTGAAACGTGGACCTGCACAGATAATTTTCTGTTATAGGCTGTAGCATCCATTACGAACTTCAAACACAAAATTTGAAACAATTCCGGTAAATAATGTCGCTAAAATCATCAAAATACCGAATATCAGGGGCTACCGTTATATGGGGGCTATACGAAGACATGGACCTGCATAGACAATTTTCTGGCATAGGCTGTAGTATCCATTACGAACTTCAAATACAAAATTTGAAATAATTCCGGTATATAATGTCGCTAAAATCATCAAAATACCGAATATCGGGAGGTACCGTTTTATGGGGACTATACGAAGACTGGGACCTGCATAGACAATTTTCTGGTATAGGCTATACCAAATTTGAAATAGTTCCTCTAAATAATGTCGCTAAAATCATCAAAATACCGAATATCGGAAGGTACCGTTATATGGGGGCTATACGAAGACGTGGATCTACATGGCCCATTTTCTGTCTTATGCTGTAGTATCTATTACGAACTTCAAATACCAAATTTGAAATAATTCCGGTAAACAATGTCGCTAAAATCACCAAACTACCGAATATCGGGAGGTACCGTTATATGGGGCTATAGGAAGACGTGGACCTACATGACCCATTTTCAATACCAAAAGTCCTGCAGACATAATACACATTCGAGTAAAGCTATCCTTAGAGCACTCCAGCATTTAAATGTGAATAAATTTTTTGGGTCTCGTATCATCGCTCGTTACCGTGATACTGATAGCGTAGCCCGAAGTCAAGGAAGTGGACTGCAAAATCAGCAGTGGCCGAAAAATGGCTCGTGAGCTGAACATATCACAAAATTCCATTCGCAAAAATTCCAAAAAGTGCAAGAATTTACACCGCAACAGAAAGAGCTAAGCAGTTGCGTCGCTTGGCCGAAAGTGGTGAAGTGCCGAATTTGGTTTTCTACGATGAGAAAACATTCGTTGGGCACCAGATCTTAAGCGCCGGCCATGGTGATGGTGTGGGCCGCCATAACAGCCGATGGTCCCTCTCCGTTCGTATTAATCGACCGCGGCATTAGAATCAATGCCGAATATTATCGCGAAAATATTCTGGAGGGTGTATTAAAGCCTTGGACACGGAAACATTTTGCCCGCAGACCTTGGACATTCCAACATGACTCAGCACGCGTCACCCAACAATGGTTACAAAATGAGGTTCCTCGCTTCATTTCCAGCCCACAATGATCACCAAAATCTACGGATACCAATCCGTTTGACTATTGTGTCTGGAGTATTTTGGAAAACAAGATTGGCCCTAAAAAATACCAAAGTGTCAATCACCTCAAGCAAGCGCTTCGCCGGGAATGGGCCTAAATACCGCAGAGCAACATTCGGGCAGCGTGTGACGGTTTCATTGGCCGTTTGAAGGCCATAATTCGTGCCAAAGGTAACCAATTCGAACAAATCTAAACTTATTCCAATATTTGATGCTATTTCCGATATTTTTTGATTTCATTAAATTAAATTTAGAAAAAAAATGTAAAAATTATGGCGTTTGACTTTGTTGCAGTTTTTTTTTTTATCTCACCCTGTATTTCGCTATATGTATCCGATATATTTAGTATCGGCATCTATGTAACGGTCAGATTTGAACAGACAAACGTCTAATTGTAATTTTGACGGGATTAAAAATATTCGCGGTTTAGAGGAAATTTTGACTTTTATTTAACACAAATATTATGGTCTATTTTACCCACTAAATATCACCCGATGACCCTCCTAATTGGAAGGTCCAGCTCTAAGCTCTAGCCACATGCTAACTTCTGCGTCAATAATGCGTTTTTTTTTCAAAAGCAAAGGGCTTCTATTCCGGCTCTAGTTCCACCTCCATTCTAAATTTCGTGAAGATCGGGCCATATTTGCGACCTGTAGAGTGATTACAAATTGACAGACGGGCGGACGGCCATACATAGGTAGATCGACTCAGCTCGACGAGATAGGAACATCCATATATACTTCCCTATGTGGGAAACCAATATTTCGAGGTGTTACATAATTGTTGGCCGAATCAAATCTATAATACCCCCAACACATAGTGTTGTAGGGTATAATAATGGTTCATATTGAATATACACATTTCTTTTGTTCAGAAATTCACAATGAAACTTGATCTAGAATTCTTCAAATTGGTTACACTTGAGACTTTTGATGTCTTTCAGGACCTAGAGTAGAATTTTATGAAAAATAATTTTGTAGTATATTTTGATTTGCTACGTTGCCGCTTAAGAGCAAATTTCACCCATTTTTCCAAAGAAGGACCAAAAAGACCGCCTTGGCGACCGCTTGAGGGTTAAATTTTCCAACCAAAATAATCCTCGTATTGTTATCAGTAATAATGCCGATGGCACCATTTGCCTAAAATCAAGGGGTTTCAAGGAATCTTAGAAGCTGAAAATATGAAATGAAGGGAAAGAGGGGGAACCTTCCCCCCTCTAGTTAGGTTACTTTGTGATGTAAAGTTTCGAAACTCCCATACTGATGTCTTCTATTTTAAACTTTATTTTCATTATTCGCTGCATTATTGACAATTTTGTCACCCTGTTCAATTTTAAACACCTGTCATAATCTTCAAACATTTGGCAAATTTTGTTATTGCAAAATGGTCAGGCTTTATCCCTTTATTGTTGTTTTTATAAAAACAACGTTTGTTTGTTAGTGGAGAACGATGGTAATGTTTACCATGGGGTGAGGCAGGGAATACCTAGGTTTCGGAAAGAACCTCCAATCCTCATCAGTTCCCTTGTTATACCCTCCACCATACTATGGAGGGTATATTAACTTTGTCATTCCGTTTGTAACTCCTCGAAATACTCATGTCAGACCCAACAAAGTATATATATTCTTGATCAGCGTAAAACTCTAAGTCGATTTAGCGATTTCCGTCTGTCTGTCCGTCTGTCTGTCTGTCCGTCTGTCTGTCTGTCTGTCTGTCTGTCTGTCTGTTGTAATCACGCTATCTTTCGAATGAATTGAGATAGATGGCTAAAATTTTGCACACATGTTTATTTTTCCAGTAGGCAGGTTAAGTTCGTAAATGGGCCATGTAGGTCCACGTTTTCATATAGCCCCCATATAACGGTACCTCCCTATATTCGGTATTTTGATGATTTTTTTGGTATTTGAAGTTCGTTATAGGAACTACAGTCTGTGACAGAAAATTGTCTGTGCGGGTCCAGGTCTTCGTATAGGCCCCGTATATCAGTACCTCCCTATATTCGGTATTTTGATGATTTTAGCGACATTATTCACCGGAATTGTTTCAAAATTGGTATTTGAAGTTCGTAATGAATACTACAGTCTAAGATAGAAAATTGTCTGTGCAAGTCCATGTCTTCGTATAGCCCCCATACAACGGTACCTCCCGATATTCGGTATTTTGATGATTTTAACGACATTATTCACGGGAATTGTTTTAAATTTGGTATTTGAAGTTCGTTATAGGAACTACAGTCTGTGACAGAAAATTTTCTGTGCGGGTCCAGGTCTTCGTATAGGCCCCATATATCAGTACCTCCCCATATTCGGTATTTTGACGATTTTAGGTACAATACCCACCGAAATTGTTTGAAATGTGGTATTTGAAGTTCGTAATGGATGCTACAGCCTGTGACAGAAAACTCCAATTTAACGGCACCTCCTTTATACGATATTTTGATGATTTTAGCTACATTATTTACCGTTTATTTCAAGTTTCCAATTTGAATATGGTAATGGCTTATGACAAACAACGCCTATGTATGTCCACGTCGTATAGACCCCAATATGACGGCTATATTCGGTATTTTTAAAATTTTAACAGAATTTTTTAAGGATTTTATTTTTTAAAAATTTCCAAATTCGTTGCAAATGGTGGAGGGTATTAAAAGTTCGGCCCGGCCGAACTTAGTGCTTTTTAACTTGTTTTTTGTCTGGGATATTCTCCCCAGAAGTTATTTTAAAAATAACTTCTATGACAAAAAATTTTTTACCCAAGTGACGAGATCGTAAGCTCAATAGAGGAACCAAAGAATTGAATAAAACTAAAATTCTTTTGGAAAGTCTTCTAAATTTTATAACCGCACTTATAATCATTTACATCTTTATCTACTTGTTATGCTTTCGTTCAACCTGAAAATAGTTTTTTAAAAACTGTTCTAAAACTTTCGTTATCGCCAAATTGCATATTTGTATATATGCCGATATAACAATCCTTAGCGGTATTTGTTTTTTATTTATTTTTCAATTGTCACTATCGCCAATTCTTCTGAAATTTAAGAGATAAACATACGTTATGTTGTTAACAGATATTTACAGTGAAACCTTTTGGAAATCGAACAAACAAGTTTCTTCATATAATCGTATTTTATGTACGATGGCAAGCATAGGTAGGGACTCCCCACAGTCTGCTCAACGTAGCAGATAACAAGAACATAACATAAAACAACAAATACAGCTACTGCACACCCAAGTATCGCAAAATGTTATTAACATTACTTTTGTTTATATCTCTCTCTCGCTCTCTCTATCTATCGATTGCATGTTTAGATTGTTTGTTTTTATTTAGCCGCTCGTTTTAGTTCGGTCTCTCAATCAATTGCTTCGACTTGTTTTTCAAACAAAAGTGATTCATTCATGTTGTTGTCCATCAGTCGTATATAGTTCTTAGCCGCATGGCGAAGTGTTTTATTGCCTGCAACAAAAAGAAAATACAAATATAAGCAAAAAATGGAATCGGAAAAGCCGCAAGGTGGTGATATTAATACTGAACCTCCAAAGAGGTGAGTATCTAGATGCTATAACAATGGGTGGGGGTTGTGATAAGGACTAAACGTTTTGATAAAAACGCATTGAAGTCTTCAATGAAACAGATCATTTTCACGAAAATACTGGGCTATGTTTGTTACTGAATTATTTGTTGTGGCGTCCCAACGGATTTTGTTTTTTTTTTTTTTTTTTTTTTTGTTTTAACGGTTGTTCAATATGTATAATTTTATTTTTTCCATATAATATTGAATTGTTTTGTAGATATTTATCTGTGGGTGGAAAAGACAAACAACTGAATATGTATTTCATCATGAAATGCCATTGTTTTTGGAGATACGTATGTTTCCATAGCTAAACTAGCTGAGCCCGGTGCGCTTCGCTATCCCTATTGCGTTTATATGCATTCAAAGTTTTATATACGAATATTTGTTTGCAAATGCTAATCGTGCAGGAATCTACCATATTTTAAAGTTGAGCGGCATTTCTGTTGCAATTAGTGAATTCGAGGTAGCAACATACTTCCGCGTAATAATCGAATCCTCAATTAAATTATTGTGTAGTTTTTATGTCCTCCACCATACTATAAAGGATATATTAATTTTGTCATTCCATTTGTAACTCCTCGAAATACCCATGTCAGACCCAACAAAGTATATATATTCTTGATCAGCGTAAAATTCTAAGATTCTGTTGTAATCACGCTATCTTTTGAACGAATTTAGATAGAAGGCTAAAATTTTGCACACATGTTTATTTAAACATTAGACAAGTTAAGTTCGTAAATGGGCCATGTAGGTCCATGTCTTCGTGTAGCCTCAGTATAACGGTATCTACCGATATTTGGTATTTTTATGATTTCAGCGACATTATCCAACGGAATTGTTTCAAATTTGGCATTTGAAGTTCGAAATGGATACTACAGCCTCAGACAGAAAATTGTGTGAGCAGGTCCACCTCTTCGTATAGTCCCCATACAACGGTACCTCCCGATATTCGGTGTTTTGATGGTTTTTGGCGACATTATTCACCGGAATTGTTTCAAATTTGGCATTTAAAGTTCGAAATGGTTACTACAGCCTGAGACAGAAAATTGTCTGAGCAGGTCCACCTCAACGTATAGTCCCCATACAACGGTACCTCCCGATTGTCTTTGCGGGTCCATGTCTTCGTATAGCCCCCATATAACTGTACCTCCCAATATTCGGTATTTTGGTGACTTTAGCAACATTGATCGCCGGAATTGTTTCAAATTTGGTGTTTGAAGTTCATAAAGAATACTACAGCCTATGGCAGAAAATTATCTATGCAGGTCCATGTCTTTGTATAGCCCCCATATAACGGCACCTCCCAATATTCGGTATTTTGATGATTTTAGCGACATCGTTCAACGGAATTGTTTCAAATTTGGCATTTGAAGTTCGAAATAGATACTACAGCCTAAGGCAGAAAATTGTATATGCAAGTCCACGTCGGGTTTTTTTTTTTGATGATATTCGGGTTTTTGATGATTTTAGCGACATTGTTCACCGGAATTGCTTCAAATTACGTATTTAGAGTTCGTAATAAATACTACAGCCTAAGGCAGAAAATTGTCTATGCAGGTCCACGTCTTCGTATAGCCCCCATATAATGGTACCTCCCAATATTCGGAATTTTGATGATTTTAGCGACATTATGCACCGGAATTATTTAAAATTTGGTGTTTGAAGTTCGCAATGAATACTACAGCCTAAGACAGAAAATTGTATGTGCAAGTTCACGTCTTCGTGGAGCCCCCATATAACGGTACCTCCCGATATTCGGTATTTTGATGATTTTGGAGACATTATTCACCGGAATTGTTTCAAATTTGGCATTAGAAGTTCGAAATAGATACTACAGCCTAAGGCAGAAAACTGTCTGAGCAGGTTCACGTCTTCGTATAGCCCCCATATAACGGTACCACCCGATATTCGGTATTTTGATGATTTTAGCGACATCGTTCAACGGAATTGTTTCAAATTTGGCATTTGAAGTTCGAAATGGATACTGCAGCCTGAGACAGAAAATTGTCTGTGCAGGTCCACGTCTTCGTATAGCCCCCATATAACGGTACCTCCCTATATTCAGTATTTTCAATATATTTTGAATTTTGAAGTTCGTAATGAATACTACAGCCTAAGACAGAAAATTGTATGTGCAAGTTCACGTCTTCGTATAGCCCCCATATAACGGTACCTCCCGATATTCGGTATTTTGATGATTTTGGAGACATTATTCACCGGTATTGTTTCAAATTTGGTATTTAGAGTTCTTACTACAGCCTAAGGCAGAAAATTGTCTGTGCAGGTCCACCTCTTCATTTAGTCCCCATATAACTGTATCTCCCAATATTCGGTATTTTTATGATTTTAGCGACATTATTCACCGGAATTGTTTCATATTTGGCATTTGAAGTTCGAAATGGATACTATAGCCTGAGGCAGAAAATTGTCTGAGCAGGTCCACGTGTTCATATAGCCCCCATATAACGGTACCTCCCGATATTCGGTATTTTGATGATTTCAGCGACTTTATTCACCGGAATTGATTCAAATTTGGCATTTGAAGTTCGAAATAGATACTACAGCCTGTGACAGAAAATTGTCTATGCAGGTCCAGGTCTTTGTATAGCCCCCCGATATTCGGTATTTTGATGATTTTAGCGACATTATTCACCGAAATTGTTTCAAATTTGGTATTTGTAGTTCGCAATGGATAGTACAGTCTAAGATAGAAAATTGTCTATGCAGGTCCACGTTTTCGTATAGCCCCCATATAACGGTACCTACCGATATTCGGTATTTTGATAATTTTAGCAACACTATTCACCGGAAATGTTTCAAATTTGGTATTTGAAGTTCGTAATGAATGGTACAGCTTATGACAGAAAATTGTCTGTGCAGGTCCACGTCTTCGTATAGCCCCCATATAACGGCACCTCCCGATATTCGGTATTTTGATGATTTTAGCGACATTATTTACCGGAATTGTTTCATATTTGGCATTTGAAGTTCGAAATGGATACTACAGCCTGAGACAGAAAATTGTCTGAGCAGGTCCACGTCTTCGTATAGCCCCCATATAACGGCAACTCCCAATATTCGGTATTTTGATGTTTTTAGCGACATTATTCACCGGAATTGTTTTAAATTTGGTGTTTGAAGTTCGTAATGAATACTACAGCCTAAGACAGAAAATTGTCTGTGCAGGTCCAAGTCTTCGTACAGCTCCCATATAATGGCACCTCCCGATATTCGGTATTTAGACGATTTTAGGTACAATACTCACCGAAGTTGTTTGAAATATCGTATTTGAAGTTGGTAATGGAAGCTACAACCTGTGACAGAAAATTGTCTATGCAGGTCCAGGTCTTCGTATAGCTCCGATATAACGGTACCTCCCTATGCACGGTATTTTGATGGTTTTAGCTACATTTTTCACTGTTTATTTCAAGTTTCGAATTTGAATATGGTAATGGCTTGTGACGAACAATGCCAATGTAGGTGCACGCTGTACAGACCCTAATATAACGGCTATATTCAGTATTTTTAAGATGTTAAAAGAATTTTTGACGAATGTTACCATTTTGAAAATTTCCAAATTCGTTCTAAATAGTGGAGGGTATTTATGCTGCCTAGACAATTTTCTATCTTAGGCTGTATTATCCATTACGAACTTCAAATACCAAATTTGAAACAATTTCGGTGAATAGTGTCGCTAAAATCATCAAATTACCGAATATCGGGAGGTACCGTTATATGGCATTAAGAGTTTCCGATCCAAGAATTGAATACTTTTCAGGGTTTCCTGTACGATGTAATCTTCAACGTTGAACTTTCGTTTGCCGGATTAGGTCCCATATTTCTGGTGAAAGCCTAAGAGGTACTCTATTTTCAGAAAAGATTCAAGGAATGACAGACTCAATGGCGTTACCAAATTTCCAACTCAGTAACATTCCGATCTATAGGAAGTTTACAATTTACAACTTTCTTTGTCGTGGCTAGGTCCAATATTTTTGGCGAGAGTCAATGGGGTACTCTATTCCCAGAATAAATTCAAGGAATGGCAGACTCCATGGTTTTTCCAAACACCTATCTGGTGGCATCGATATCCGACTGAGTAACATTCCAATCTATGGGAAGTTTACAATTCTCCCGGCGTTAAGAATTTCCGCTCCGAGAATTGGAAACCTTTCAGGGTTTCCTGTACGATGTAATCTTTAACGTTGAACTTTCTTTGTTGTGTCTAGGTCCAATATTTTTGGCGAGAGTCTACGGGGTACTCTATTCTCAGAATAAATTCAAGGAATGGCAGACTCCATGACGTTTCCGAAAACCTTGCTCCTGCCATCGATTTCCGATTGAGTAACTTTCCGATCTATTGGAAGTTGACAGTTTGAAAGCTCTTCTGCCAATATCCTTTTGAATTGTCGTCTTTCCATTCTTTTGTAGTCGGAGAAAGTGCCTTTTCTTCACAAATTTGGAAGTGAGATTACTAGTAACGACAATTTTCCTATTTTTTCATGGATTCTTCTTGGGTCTGTTTTCTAGGTCTTTAGTAAAAATAATATAAAAATGTTCGTTGTATTATTTTCCCGATTATTGAATCTCTTTCTCTTCTTTCAGTTACTATACAATTGTTGCTCCTGGAACAATTCAAGCGGATTTGGATTATGCTGTCACTGTGACATTGCACAAGCACACCGGACCTATTACCGTTCAGATTACCCTCTCCGGGCCGAGCTGCAATGAGAACAGAACCTTAGAACTACAACCACAATCATCGCAAATGGCAATTTTCAAAGTTCCTTCACAGCTGGCAGATGGCACGTATGAGCTAATCGTCGAAGGAACTCAAGGTTTAGTTTTTCGGGAATCATCAAAACTAATTTTTAGAAATTGCCTGCATCAAATCTACATACAAACCGATAAGGCCACATATAAACCTGGTGATTTGGTGCTATATCGCCTTTTGGCCTTGGATAGAAATCTAAAACCGGCCAACTTTTCGGATCCAGTCGATTTAGTAATACGTGATGGTGCCTCAAATCAAATTAAGCAAGTAAAGGATTTGAAATTCAACAAAGGGGTATATCGGGGTGAATTTCAACTCTCCGACCAACCGGTTTTGGGCAAATGGAGCATCGATGTTAACGCTGGTCGGGACAGTCTAATGAAACTCGGTAAAAGTTTTGAGGTGGCCAAATATGTGCTACCCAAGTTTAGTGTTGAAATTGAAACCGAGCGGGAAATTGCCATCTTGGATAAGCAAATCAAAGTTACCGTTCTCTCCAACTACACCTATGGCCAGCCGGTAAGGGGCAAATTGCAAGTTATTGCCAAGTTAAAGCAATATTGCCAATTACTTGGATGTGCCGAGAAAACCATCGACTTCAATGGCAAAGCTGATGTGGAATTCGATTTTATGGAAGATCTGGGTTTACAACACCCAACGGAGGATGAATACGGAGATTGGCAAATACATCTTAAGGCCGTTGTCCTAGAAGCTTTTACGGACATTCAACAGAGCAGCACAACAGAGGTGAACTTGAGAAGATCTCGTTACAAAATTACCCTATTGGATTACCGACCAGAATATGAACTGAATAAACCGTTTGAAATTCGAGCAGCGGTCAAATATCTTAACAATCGTCCTGTAACAAATGCCAAACGACCAGTTCAACTTATTATTAGCCAAGATTATGTTACGAATTTCCAAGCCAAAGACCATGACTTGTTTTTTCAATCGGAAATAAATCCGGATGGCATTGTTGTTTTTACCGTGACCATAGCTGAGGATAAGGACTATTCCTGGATGACATTTCGATTTGAGGAAGAAGTTCAATCCGAATATGGTCTATATCTAAAGCCAGCAGCAGCAGCAGCAGCAAGTGATGAGGTTACGTCAACAGAAACGTATGAGTTGCCTTTGGAATTAAATCTGCAAACTGAAACGTAAGTACAACACACATTTTTAGTCAAATTTGACCGCAAAGAAAAGTGAGGTTTTAGGATAAATGACCGAAAAAAAGGTGACATTTTCCTCGCTTAACCCTCTTCTTTAAAATAAAACTCAGTTTTTTAAACCGTTGCTTTCGGAGATTCTTTCTAAATCTCCCCAAAAACATAAGGTTATTTAATATACAGGGTGAAATGAAAAAAACTGCAACCAACTTCAGACTGCTGTCGTTTCTAAGCCACTCGTCCGACAGCTGTTAAAATTATTCCAATGACACCTCACAATATCGTTTACAAGCATACAAAAGCATTTTGCTGAGAATTTTCCAGAAAAAAAGTTAGCAGAAATGGTTCGAAAATTGAAGAAGCGACTTGATCGAAATCCGCGTCGCAGTGGCCGAAAAATGGCTCGTGAGCTGAACATATCAGAATATTCCATTCGGGAAATATTGAAAAATGAGCTCGGGGTAAAGCCATTGAAATTCCAAAAAGTGCAAGAACTTACACCACAACAGAAAGAAAATAGACTCAATAGAGCTAAAGAGTTGCTTGGCCGAAAGTTGTGAACTGCCGAATTTGGTTTTCTCCGATAAGAAAACATTCGTTGACCAGCAGTTTGTAAACAACAAAATGATCATGTTTACTTGCCAAAGAGGTCAGCTGAAAATGTGCACCTTCGGTTAGCCACCAGAACTCAAGCGTCGGCTATGGTGATGGTATGGGCCGTGGGTTGTTGTTGTTGTAGCAGCTCATACATATGTGTTCGTTCGGTTTCCATTTTCTGACTCAGTTCAATCAGGTTCTGCCTCTAAGTCCAGTCTCAAAAAGGATGCAACCTGTATGGGTTGAGTCCATAACGAGACTGGAGTTAGGTGAGTAGGCTTGGCTGGGCAGCGAAATAAGTGCAGCGTGTCATGTGGGCCTGTGCCACATGCTGGGCAGATGTTCTGCACTTCGCCGTTGATCCGGGCCCAGTAGGAATTTAGGCGGCTGCACCATCCGGATCGTAATTGAGCCAAGACTACTCGGGTTTGTCGGGGCAGCTCTCGTTCTTCAGCTGCGACGGGAGGGGGATGGTCTCCTAGCACAGTATTCACTCTATATCCTTCAATGGCTTCTGAGACCGCATTAGAGTGAATACTATTCAGTCCCGCTTGATAGGCCTGTTGATCTAGAGGCTCTCTCTTATACCTCTGTACCTCTCTCTCCAGATCATGAAGGTCTTTCCTAACGTGCCTGGGCGGAGGTTGCCTATCCACAAGATGGTGATTTGGATGGCTTTGTCTATAACACCCAAGCAGGTATTGCATTGACAGCATTTTGTTATGCTGTCGCACCGGTAAGACCTTCGCCTCCTCATGTAGGTGATCGACGGGTGTCATGAGAAGGCACCCTGTTGCGGTTCTAAGGGCGGCATTCTGGCAGGACTGAACATTTTTCCACTGCGTAGCACTGACGTTAGCGGACCACACTGGAGCCGCATAGTTTACCACAGACCGGCCTATCGCGTTGTAAGAGGTCAACAAGGTCTCCTTATCAGCTCCCCAAGTACTGCCGGCCAGAGACTTGAGGACCTTGTTCCTACTTCTAATCTTGTCGCAGATAGCTGTGGTATGCGCGGACGACTTAAAGAGGCTATCGAATGTGACCCCTAATACCTTGGGGTAGTTGGTGGTCGGAATAATAGCACCATCGACCTGCACATTCAAGGATAGCCCCATCTCCGCAGTCCATGTGGTGAAAAGTGTGGCCGTCGACTTAGTGGCGGATATCTTCATATTCCTCGCAGTGAAAAAGGCGGTAAGATCAACAAGGTAAGCGTTCAACCGATCGCAAATGTCATCAATAATGGGTCCGGACGCCACGAGCGTACAATCATCTGCGTACGTAATAATCTCTATGCCGTCTGGAGGGCGTGGAATTTCAGAAAGGTAGAGGTTAAACAGTTCCGGAGATATCACCCCACCTTGGGGAACTCCCTGTTTAACTCTACGGATGCTCGACTTCTTGTTTCTGAATTCCACGTACGACTGGCGTCCACACATGTAGTTTACTATCCAACGTTTCAAACTTGGCCGGAGGGTGGTGCGTTCAATGTCCTCGAACAGTGTGGCATGATTGACTGTATCAAAGGCTTTTGATAAATCAAGTGCCACCATGACTGTTCTATCGCACGGCCTGTTCTGGTTGAGACCTCTACTGACATGTGTGGAAATGGCGTGTAAAGCTGTTGTTGTGCTATGCAATTTTCGGAATCCGTGTTGATGATCGGCTACTGGGAAACACTCTCTTATGCTGGGGAGGAGTAAAGCCTCAAGCGTCTTTGCTACTGGTGACAAAAGTGATATCGGCCTGTATGAATCACTTTTGCTGGCATCCTTGCCTGGCTTCAGTAGCGGGACCACCCTGCCCATTTTCCATGCATCGGGGACTACTAGGGTGGCTAACGACAGGTTGAGAAGCTTTGTCAGATACTCAACTCCTGGTTCATCCAGTTGCTTCAACATCACCATTGAGATTCCGTCAGGACCAAGCGCTTTGGATGACTTTGCGCTTCTGATGACCTGTGCAACATCTGCCAACGTAAATTGTGGTGGTACCTCCTCGGCTGGAAGGGATCGTACACGGCGTAGTATCCTTCTCTTCGCCCTGTCACTCTCGGGGTGCTCTACAAACTGCCGGTTAAAATAACACGCGCACCTCTTCGGATCTGTCACTTCTACGCCGTTAAATGAGACAGATGTCCGATCGTCCTTTTTTCCAGGGTTCGAAAGCGACTTAACCGTTGCCCACAATTTACTCGTTCCGGTACCGATGTTGCAATGCTTCAGATGTTCTAACCACTTTTCCGCTTATGCTCACCTACTAACCTGTTTACCTCCAGAGTAAGTTCCCTGACTCGGGTTATTAGGGTTAGTACGGCGAAGCTCATCTCGCTCGTTTGCTAATCCCGCTGCCTCTGCTGGGAAATTTGGTCTTATTTCAGGTATTCGACCAGCAGGTATATAGCGAGCGGCTGCAGCTTTGATGATGTCCCGGAAACACCTATCTGCTACCTGAACATCAGATGGGTTGGGCAGTTCTCTGAAGCGGCGATTGGTATACTCTCTGAATTCTTGCCAATTAGCTTTCCCGTGGTTAAGGAAAGTGCGGCGTTCAGAGTCGATGAAGTCGGGTGGTCTATTGATGGCGATAATAATGGGGCCGTGGGTCGCCATAACAGCCGATGGTCGCTCTCCGCTCGTAATTATCGACAGTGGCATCAGAATAAATGCCGCATATTACCGCGAAAATATTCTGAAGGGTGTATTGAAGCCTTGGGCACCCAAACATTTTGGCCGCAGACCTTGGACCAGACTCAGCACCATCGCACTCAGCACGCGCCACCCAAGAATGTTTACAAAATGAGGTTCCTTGCTTCATTTCCAGCGCACAATGACCACCAAAATCTCCGGATCCCAATCCGTTGGATTATTGTGTCTAGAGTGTTTTGGAAAGCAAGGTTGGCACTAGATATAGCAAGTTGTAAAGAATCGCTGAGTTGTTTCGCAATTTATGATAGATAAAAGTATTTAAAACGTTCTCCCTTTGAGGGTGAGGTACTAGAGGGGGTTCGCAGATATATAGCATCTTCACAACAGATCTTGTGTTGTTTGAAGAGAGTTGGATGCTTATTTCGATTTCTTTGAGCTTTATATTTTTCAAAAATTTGACCCCTATGTGGGCCAGGTAGCAAACGAAATTGTCCGATCTCTACCATCTTTATAAGAGATTTTGTGTTGATGGAAATATTGAGATGTACCATGTCTGCAATGGAATCGGATGTTGATTTCGCTTTTTATAAACTTCATGGGTATTCAAAATTTTGAGCGTTTGTAGGAGAGGTACCAGAAGAGTGGACTTATATATATCCGTCTTACTACCAGATCTTGTGTTCATAAAAATAGTAGGATATGTGAAATTTGAAGACAATCGGACTCTTAAATCATATTTTTAACAGTTATAATTATTCAAAATTTTGACCCTTTGTGGGAGAGGCTCTTGATGAAGTGGACCGATATTGTCCATTTTCTCACCTGACCTAGCACTGACCCAAATATTAGGATTTTCAAAGTTGGAGCAAAATCGGATTATTCTTTCTCTTTCTGTGCAGAAAATATATTTCTTAAAAATTTCGACATTTTGTAGGGAGGTACCAGAAGGAGTAGACCGATATATTCTATCTTAACACCAGACCTTGAGTTGATAAAAATATTGGGATGTGTGAAATTTAAAGACAATCGGATTCTTACATCACATTTTATAAGAGTTGTAATTTTTCAAAATTTTGAGACCTGACGTAGCACTGGCGCAAATATTAGAATTTGCAAAGTTGGAGCAAAATCGGATTATTCTTTCTCTTTCTGTGCAAAAAATATATTTTTTGAAAATTTCGACCTATTGTGGGGGAGGTACCAGAAGGAGTCGACCGATATTGCCCATCTCCGAACTCGATCTAAGTTTGACAAAAATATTACGATGTACCCAGTTTGGACCACATCGGATACTCCCTTCGAGAGTTATCGTGCGCACCAGCCAGCCAGACAAACGGAAGGACGGACATCGCTAGATCAACTCCAAATGTTCTGAATCTGATTTGGACCAAAGAGACCTAGGGTCTAAAACCGTTATTTCGACTAGGCACGTTTGACCTTATCAAATTGTATATACCCTCTGTAGCCATATGGCTGAGGACATAATAAACAAGGAAAAAAGCTGTAAGTTTGACCGGGCCGAACTTTGAATACCCTCCACCATTTCGAATGAATTTGGCAATTCTCAAAAACAATAAAATCCGTTAAAAATTCTGTTAAAGTTTTAAAAATACCGAATATAGCTGTTATATTAGAGTCTATACGATGACATGGACCTGCATAGGTAACTCTGGTCATAAGCCATTACAATATTCAAATGCGAAACTTAAAAAAAACGGGTATGATGTCGATAAAATCAAAATACCGAATGTCGGGAGGTACCGTTATATGCACAGACAATTTTCTATCTTAGGCTGTAGTACCTATTTCGAACTTCAAATACCAAATTTGAAACAATTCCGGTCAATAATGTCGCTAAAATAATCAAAATACCGAATATCAGAGGGGGGAGTACCGTTATAGGGGGGCTATACGAAGACGTGGAGCTGCACAGACAATTTTCTGTCATTCATTTCGAACTTCAAATACCAAATTTAAATCAATTCCGATGAATATTGTCGCAAAAATCATCAAAATACCGAATATCGGGAAATACCATTATTTGGGGGCTATATACAAAACGTGGACCTACTTGGCCCATTTTCAATACCAAAAGTCCTGCAGATATGACATACATTTGAGTAAAATTTTATCAATCTACATCAATTTGTTCGGAAGCTAGAGTGATTTCCACAGACGGACAGATGGACGGACATCGCTAAATCGAAATAGAATTTTATGCTGATCAAGGGTCTAAAATGTTTATTTCGAGGTGTTACAAACGAAATGAGAAACTTAATATACCCTCCATACTATGGTGGAGGGTATAAAAATGGTTAAAAAAAGTTAATTTTCTTCACACACACTTCTACCCCGCTATTTCCAGACCACAACTTGGCGAAGAGTTGCTAATCGAAGTTAAATCCAATGCCCCGCTATTGAATTTCGTGTACTTTATTATTGCCCGCGGCAAAATTGTACAACATAAGATGGTCAATTTGAGCGGGACATCAAAATGTTATAGCCTCCAAGTGATGGCCACCTTTGATATGGTGCCGGTGGCCTATGTGTTTGCCTATTTAATTGATCAAGCCGGAGAATTTCATCACTGCCACGTTGTTATCAGATTTGAGAAAGTTTTTCAGAATCCGGTAAGAAGATGGCCAAATATTTCACACATTTTTCTTGAGTAATTATAGCATTTTTAATTAAAGCTTAACATCATCCCATCTCTTGAAGAAACCAAACCTGGTGCAGAGTTGACATTGAGTATAGAAACCGATCCGGAATCGTTGGTGGGTCTGATGGCCGTAGACCAGAGTGTATTATTGCTGCAATCGGGAAATGATTTTAACGATGTTCACATCTATCATGGTCTAATTATTTATGAATCTCGGCTACACGTTGAGGACGTATGGGCCATGCCTTATCCAGGAAAACGTTGTGGATTGGTGGCCCTAACGAATGCCTTCCAAAAGAAACCAAGTAAGTTGATTTCGAAGAAAATGAAAATTAAAATAAGTAAAAAACCTGAAGTTCGGCCGGGCCGAACTTTGAATACCCTCCAACATTTAGAGCGAATTTGGCAATTTTTAAAATTGTAGTATCCATTACGAACTTCGAATACTAAATTTAAAACAATTCCGGTGAATAATGTCGCTAAAATCATCAAAATACCGAATATCGGGAGGTACCGTTATATGGGGGCTATACGAAGACGTGGAGCTGCACTGACAATTTTCTGTCATAGGCTGTAGTATCCATTACGAACTTCAAATACCAAATTTGTGGCAATTCCGGTAAATAATGTCGCTAAAATCATAAAAATCCCAAATTTCGGTAGGTACCGTTATGTGGGGGCTATACGAAGATGTGGGCCTGCACAGACAATTTTTTGTCATAGGTTGTATTATCCGTTACGAACTCTAAATACCAAATTTGAAACAATTCCGGCGAATAATCTCGCTAAAATCATGAAAATACCGAATATTGGGAGGTACCGCTATATGGAGACTATACGAAGACGTAGACCTGCTCAGACAATTTTCTGCCCTAGGCTGTAGTATTCATTACGAACTCTAAATACCAAATTTGAAACAATTTCGGTGAATAATGTAGCTAAAATCATCAAAATACCGAATATCGAGTGGTACCGTTATATGGGGGATATACGAAGACATGGGCCTGCACAGACAATTTTCTGTCATAGGCTGTAGTATCCATTAAGAACTCTAAATACCAAATTTGAAAAAGTTCCGGTGAATAATGTCGCTAAAATCGTGAAAATACCGAATATTGGGAGGTACTGCTATATGGGGACTATACGAAGACGTAGACCTGCTCAGACAATTTTCTGCCCTAGGCTGTAGTATCCATTACGAACTCTAAATACCAAATTTGAAACAATTTCGGTGAATAATGTAGCTAAAATCATCAAAATATCGAATATCGAGAGGTACTGTTATATGGGGGATATACGAAGAAGTGGACCTGCACAGACAATTTTCTGTCATAGACTGTCGCATCCGTTAGGAACTTCAAATAACAAGTTTAAAACAATTCCGTTAAATAATGTCGCGAAAATCATCAAAATACCGAATATCGAAAGATACCGCTATATGGGGACTATACGAAAACGTAGACCTGCCCAGACAATTTTCTGCCTTAGGCTGTAGTATTCATTACGAACTCTAAATTCCAAATTTCAAACAATTCCGGTGAATAGTGTCGCTAAAATCATCAAAATACCGAATATCGGGAGGTACCGCTATATGGGGGATATACGAAGACGTGGGCCTGCAGAGACAATTTTCTGTCATAGGCTGTAGCACCCGTTACGAACTTCAGATATCAAATTTCAAACAATTCCGGTGAATAATGTCGCTAATACCATCAAACCATACTATGGTGAAGGGTATAAAAATCGTGAAATTTTATTATATCGTAAAACAGGTTTATGCAGACTTACCCTAGATTGGAGATCATCCTTAGGTCTCCTAAATACAAAACTTCTGAACATTACATATTTCCAACATTTCTTTTCTATTTCAGAACGTAAAATTCGTTGCAGAGCTATGAAATGTAAGGAGTCAGTTGCACGCCAAGATATGGAATTTGCTGAAGATGAATTACGCGATCGGGAACGGTCCCTGGATGAGGATACATGTATTGCTCCGGTTCGTAAAAATTTTGTGGAAACTTGGATTTTCGATGATATTGAATGGTGGGTTTTGTAAAAAGTATCAATATCGATATCTATAATTCTAATATTTGTTTTCATCTCATCGCCCCTTCAGTGCTAGTGGCCGAACAGCCTTTACCAAAACCATACCTGATACCATAACATCATGGATTATAACCGGATTTTCAATTAATGAAAAAACCGGCTTCGGCATGACCGATGAAGCAACAAAAGTTCGGGTATTTCAACCATTCTTTGTGAGCACAAATCTCCCATATTCGATAAAGCGCGGTGAGGTCGTGTCCATACCAATTGTGGTGTTCAATTACACGGCCGGTGATTTGCAGGCAGTTGTCACCATGGAGAATGACCTAAACGAATATGATTTCATGGAGGACACCAACAATGCGCAAATGCTAAGTAAAAAGATCCTTATACCCTCCAATGGCAGTGAAACGGTCAATTTCAAAATTAAACCCAAAATTGTTGGGGAAGTAATGTTAAAAATCAAGGCCATAACCCCCTTGGCCGGAGATGTTGTGCATCAAAAATTAAACGTAGAACCTGAAGGTGTTACACAACATAAAAATGTTGCCCATTTTATAAATCTATCTGAACAGGGACAAACCACCGAGCATATCTTGAAAGCCATCATTCCCCAGGATAGGGTAGACGACTCGGAATATTTAGAATTCACAGTTGTGGGAGATATTCTGGGACCCACCATCAAGAATATCGATCAATTGATACGCATGCCATACGGCTGTGGCGAACAAAACATGATGAATTTTGTGCCGAATATTTTGGTGGTGAAATATCTAAATGCCATTGGTCGGGACATGCCAGGGCTGATGGAGAAGGCCAAAAAATATATGGAAACGGGATATCAAAAGGAATTAACCTATAAACATGGCAATGGTGCGTTCAGCACCTTCGGAGAGGGCAGCAGTGAAGCGAATAGCTGGCTAACGGCCTATGTGGCACGTTCGTTTATTCAGGCCCGCAACTTAATCACCATTGATGAGAAAATTATTGAGGATGCCTTGCAGTATCTGCTTGGCACACAAAAGGACAATGGACAATTTCCACAAACGGGAGAGCTGTTTCATTCTTCCAATCAAAATGAGCTGGGAGTATCGGCATTTATACTAATGGCTTTCTTGGAGGATAAGGTAGGCTTTGCTTTTATACCCTCCACCATAGTATGGAGGGTATATTAAGTTTGTCATTCCGTTTGTAACACCTCGAAATATACATTTTAGACCCCACAAAGTATATATATTCTTGATCGGCAAAAAAATTCTATGTCGATTAAGCGATGTCCTTCGGTCCGTCCGTTTATCCGTCTATGGAAATTAATCTAGCTTCCGAACGAAATGAAGTAGATTAATAAAATTTTAGTCAAATGTATATTATGTCTGCAGGACTTTTGGTATTGAAAATGGGTCATGCAGGTCCACGTGTTTGTATAGCCCCATATAACGACACCTCCCGATATTCGGTATTTTTATGATTTTAGCGACATTATTCACCGGAATCGTTTCAAATTTGGTATTTAAAGTTCGTAATAGATACTTCAGCCTAAGACAGAGAATTTTCTGTGCAGGTCTATGTCTTTATAACGGTACCTCCCGATATTCGGTACCTCCCGATATTTGGTATTTTGATGATTTAAGCGACATTTTTCAGCGGAAATGTTTCAAATCTGGTATTTGAAGTTCGTAATGGGTACTACAGCCTATGACAGAAAATTGTTCGTGTAGGTCCAGGTCTTCATTATAACCCCATATATTCGGTACTTTGATGTTTTTAGCGACATTATTTGCCGGAATTGTTTCAAATTTGGTATTTGAAGTTCGTAGTGCATACTACAGCCTATCTCAGAAAATTGTCTGTGCAGGTCCACGTCTTCGTATAGCCCCCATATAACGGTACCTCCCAATATTCGGTATTTTGATTATTTAAATGACATTATTTACCGGAATTGTTTCAAATTTAGTATTAGAGGTTCGTAATGGATACTACAGCCTATGACAGAAAATTGTCCGTGCAGGTCCACGTCTTCCTATAGCCCCCATATAACGGTACCTCCCGATATTCGGTATTTTGATGATTTTGGCGACATTATTCACCGGAAATGTTTCTAATTTGGTATTAGAGGTTCGTAATGGATACTACAGCCTATGATTGTGTCTACAGATCCACGTCGTCGTATATACCCTAATATAACGGCTACATTCGGTATTTTTAAGACTTTTTAACCGATTTTATTTTTTCGAAAATTCCCAAAATCGTTCCAAATGGTGGAGGATATTCAAATTTCGGCTCGATCGAACTTACAGCTTTTTTACTTATTTTTTCTCACTTTTCAGGTCTACGCCTTAAAGTATGCAACGGCAGTCGAGAGATCTCTGCAATACCTTGCCAACAATGTGCAAACGGAAGACAACATTTATTCGCTGGCTCTCATTCTATTTGTCTTTCAAAAAACCAAACATCCTCTGACCAATCAAGTAAACGAGAAAATACAACAAAAATCGAAATTTGAGAATAATTTGAAATGGTGGTCCAACTCCACCGAATATAACAACAATAATATTGAGGTGACCTCCTATATTTTACAATCCATGTTGGAAATGGAGGCACAGCAGCTGGGAGACATTGTACCAATTATAAAATGGCTAATATCGCAACGTAATAATTTGGGTGGTTTTGATTCGACACAGGATACTGTTGTTGGACTCAAGGCATTGGTGGCTTTTGCTGAAAAATTCTCCTCAACGGGCGGGGATGGTGGTGAAAATCTTAAAATCCACTACAAGGGACTGGATGAGGCAGGTGTGGAAACCACACTGGGTTCTTTTGCCGTGGATCGAGAGAATTCATTTATTTTACAAAGTTATTTGGTACGTACAAAATCGAATGTTTAAATTCAAAATATGTTTTAATATTTTTTTTTCCATTTTCTCTTTTCTAGTTACCCAAGTCCACACGACAGCTTAGCCTCACTGCCAGTGGTCAAAAGGGGGCATCAGCTTTGTTGCAATTATCCTATCAGTACAATGTCAATGTGCCAGAACAAGAACCCAACTTCCACATTGAGTATACAGCCAAAACAACTCCCGTCCCTGGACAATTCGCAATGAATGTCAGTGTCGAATATAAACCCCACTACTCGGTTGAGGCGAAAGAATCAAATATGGCGGTTATGGAAATTAGCCTGCCATCGGGATACATCACTCACATCGATAATCTGGCAGCGATACAAAATGATCCTCGCGTCCAAAGAGTGGAAACGAAAAATGACGACACCATCATAGTAATCTACTTTGAACGACTGGTTGTGGGAGAGCAGAGCTCCTTTGATATTTTTGCCAACAAGTCGCATGCGGTGGATAATTTGAAACCCTCGCCGATTACAATTTATGACTACTACAACACGAATCAGCGAGCTACGGTTTTATATCAGAAATGATTTTGTAAAAAGTAAATAATTATTATTTTATTATTATTATTGTTATTATTATTATTATTATTATTATTATTATTATTATTATTATTATTATTATTATTATTATTATTATTATTATTATTATTATTATTATTATTATTATTATTATTATTATTATTATTATTATTATTATTATTATTATTATTATTATTATTATTATTATTATTATTATTATTATTATTATTGCAAATTTAATCACATGTGAAAATGTTGATTTTTGTTGCAGGATATAGTTTTAAAGACTGCTAATAAATATAATCCTGGATTAAACAAGTAAAAAAAACTGTAGGTTCGGACGGGCCGAACTTTCAATGCCCTCCACCATTTGGAACGAATTTTGCAATTTTCAAAAACAATAAAATCCGTTAAAAATTCTGTTAAAATCTTAAAAATGTCGAATGTAGCTGTTATATTAGGGTCATGGACCTGCATAGGTAACTTTTGTCATAAGCTATTATAATATTCAAATGCTAAACTTGAAAAAATAGGGAGGAACCATACGTGGACCTGCACAGACAATTTTCTGGCATAGACTGTAGTATCCATTACGAAATTCAAATACCAAATTTAAAACAATTCCGGTAAATAATGTCGCTAAAATCATCAAAATACTGAATATCCGAGAGTAACGTTATATGGGGGCTATACGAAGACGTGGACCTATATGACCGGTTTTCTGTCTTAGGCTGTAGTATCCATTACGAACTTCAAATACCTAATTTGAAACAATTCCGGTACATAATGTCGCTAAAATCATCAAAATACCTAATTTCGGGTGGTACCGTTATTTGGGGCTATACGAAGACGTGGACCTGCACAGACAATTTTCTGTCGTAGGCTGTAGTATCCATTACCAACTTTAAATACCAATTTTCAAACATTTCCGGTAAATAATGTCGCTAAAATCATCAAAATACCGAATATCAGGGGGTACCGTTATATGGGCATATACGAAGACGTGGACCTACATAGCTCATTTTCTGTCTGAGGTTGATGTATCCATTATGAACTTCAAATGCCAATTTTCAAACAATTCCGGTAAATAATGCCGCTAAAATCATCAAAATACCGAAAATCGGAGGGTACCGTTATATGGGGGTTATGCGAAGACGTGGACCCACATGACTTATTTTCTGGCTTAGGCTGCAGTATCCATTACGAACTTCAAATACCAAATTTGAAACAATTCCGGTAAATAATGTCGCTAAAATCATCAAAATACCGAATATCGGGGGCTACAGTTATATGGGAGCTATACGAAGACGCGGACCTACATAGCCCATTTTCAATACCAAAAGTCCTGCAGACATAATACACATTTGAGTAATTTTTTATCAACTTACTTCATTTCGTTCGGAAGCTAGAGTGATTTCCACAGACGGACAGAAAGATAGACGGACGGACATTGGTAAATCGACATAGAATTTTATGCTGGTCAAGTATATATATTTTGTGGGGTCTAAAATGTATATTTCGAGGTGTTACAAACGGAATGACAAACTTAATATACCCTCCATACTATGGTGGAGGGTATACAAATTATATATTTTAAAGAAAACTTATCTTGATATAATTTTTTAATATAAAAGAATAGGAAAATGTGCGAAAGTATTGCATTTGAGAGATTTTTTGAAGATATTTTTAGGCCAGATCAATAAAAATAGATGTCAAGCTTTTTTTAAAATATATCAAATGAATAATCAAATTAAAATGTACCCCACCAATAAGTGCGGATTTTTTAAGAATTTTTTTAAAGCGGATTTTACAAGAATCCTGATTTGTTTATAAATATTTTTTATACCCTCAGCCACATGGCTACATATATATAAACCCTATATCATTTGATACGGCCAAAAAGTGCCTCATCGATAACGATAACTAGACCCCAGGTCTCTTTGGACCAAATCCGTTTCAGGACATTTGGAGTCGATCTAGCGATGTCCGTCCGTCCATCCGTCTGTCTGGCTGGTGCGCACCATAACCCTCGAAGGGAGTATACGATATAGTCCAAACATTGTACATCGTCATTTTACTATTAAACTTAGTTCGAGTTCGAAGATGGGCAATATCGTTCTACTTCTTCTGCAAAAACTATATTTTATTGCACAGCAAGAGAAAGTTTAATCCGATTTTGCTCCAACTTTGCAAAACCCAATATTTGCACCAGTGCTAAGTCAGGTGCGAAAATGGATAATATCGGTTTACTCTATCAAGTTTGCGGGATTTTTTCAAGTTTCCTATTTTAATATTGTAATGCCCTATGGCCAAACTTGCCTGTGCAGGTCCACGTCTTCGACTAAACCCCAATACAGACATGGTGACCCTTTGTGGGTGAGATTCGCAGATATACAGGGTGAGTTACAAAAACTGCAAAAAAGTCAAATGCCATAATTTTTACATTTTTTATAATTTTATTGAATGAAAGCAAAAAATTTCGGAAATACCATCAAATTTTAGAATAAGTTTAGATTTGTTCGAATTTGCTAACTTTGACACGAATTATGGCCTTCAAACGGCCAATGAAACCGTCACACGCTGCCCGAATGTTGCCCGGCGGTATTTTGGCCCATTCCCGACGAAACGCTTGCTTGAGGTGATCGACACTTTCGTATTTTTTAGTGCCAACCTTGCTTTCCAAAATACTCCAGTCACAATAGTCCAACGGATTGGTATCCGGAGATTTTGGTGGTCATTGTGCGCTGGAAATGGAAAGCGAGGAACCTCATTTCGAACCATTCTTGGGTGGCGCGTGCTGGAATTTCCAAGGTCTGTTGGAATGTCCAAGGTCTGCGTCCAAAATGTTTGCGTGCCCAAGGCTTTAATACACTCTCCAGAATATTTTCGAGACAATATTTTCGAGCATTTATTCTGATGCTATGGTCGATTAATACGAGCGGAGAGCGACCATCGGCTATTATGGCAGCCCACACTATCACCATGGCCGACACTTGAGTTCTGGTGACCAACCAGCTGACCTCTTTGGCATGTAAACATGATAATTTTTTTTTGTATACAAACTCCTGGACAACGAATGTTTTCTTATCGAAGAGAACCAAATTCGGCAGTTCACCATTTTCGACCAAGCGAAGTATCTCTTTAGCTCTTTTGAGTATATTTTCTTTCTGTTGCGGTTTAAGTTCTTGTACTTTTTGGAATTTCTATGGATTTACCCCGAGATCATTTTTCAATATTTGCGAAATGGAATATTGCGATATGTTTTGCTCACGCGAGCCATTTTTCGGCCACTGCGACGAGAGTTTCGATCAAGTCGCTTCTTTACTTTTCGAACCATTTCTGCAGATGTTGTTGTTTTCTTTCGTCTACTTCCTTGACGTCGGGCTACGCTACCGGTATCACGGTAACGGGCGATGGTACGAGACACAAAAGATTTATTCACATTTAAATGCTGGAGTGCTCTAACGATAGCCACTTGTGGTTTTCCAGCCAAATATAAAGAAATCACACTATCACGCTTGAATTCCGTCACGAATAACATTTTTTCTGGAAAATTCTCACCAAAATGCTTTTGTACGTTTGTAAAGAATGTAATGAGCTGTCACTAGATTATTTTTAACATCGGTCAGACGAGTTGCTTGGAAATGACAGCAGTCTAAAGATGGTTGCAGTTTTTTCATCTCACCCTGTATGAATATTACCTGTCATTTTGCCAAGTTACAGCTAAAGCTTTGTGTTGTGTAGTAAAGAGAGAATCAAAACAAAATAGGAAATAAGCTTAAAAAGCAGGCCTAAATGAGCACAAACAAAACAAGAGGCAAGATAATACGCTATGAGAGGGAGAGAGAGAAAGAAAGAGAGCGAGTGAGTTAAAAGAATTAAGCCATGTTTTGAGTTTAGTAGTGGCTAAGACACGCGTCGTATAACAACGTATCTGAAACAAAAAGAAACGGCGCACGAAAAACGAACGAAAAGTGATTAAACGAAAAAAAGAATAAAAAATAGAAATTAAAATTATTGAGAAAACAAAAATATTCTTGGAAACAAGGTATTGAGGAATATTTTTTGGAAAGAAAAAAAATCTTAGAATCTTAGATTGCGAAGATAAAAATAGCAACGACTCGAAAACAAATTGCGTGGATGTGTCTCGGAGGCGAGTGACATAAATGTGTGATGTGAATAAATGTGTGATGAATGAATGAAAAAAAATCTAAAATCAAATAAAATATCCATTGAAGTGAAGTGGTGGTTTATGGCGCTGTAGATAATAAAGTGCTGTTTTTTGCTTCATAAACACAATTTTTTTTTATTAAGAATATCAAAAATAAAAATTCTCCATAGCACGGAGGTGAAGTGAAGCGATTTTATAGTTCCTTTTTTATTTTGTAATAAAAAAGTCTCTGTTTTTTTTTTCATTTTTGTTTATTTGCCCAGTCGGTCATACATCAACGATTTGAGAATTTTGCGCAAAGTGAACAAAAATCCAAACTAAATGTTAACGAGAGCGTAACAATTGCTCAGAATTGCGACACTGCGACGCAAGACAACAATAAAATAAAAACAACAATTAAATTAAGCAGCCAGCCAGTCAGCCAAGCAACAAGTCAGTCAGCCAGCGAAAAAACAACAGCAACAAATCTGAAAATGTTCGTGAAACAGCAGTGCTTTATAATATTGTCACTTTTGGTGCATTTAAATTCTGGTCAAGGGTTTGTATTCCAATTTTTTTTTCTTTTTGGTATAAAATTTATTTTGAATTATTTTTTTTTACCAAAATATAACACACACACCCATCCACCCACCGTTCCTCTACAGAAAACCCAGGCGATTTTCAAGCAACACAATACATACTTACCTTTATTTGCTATACAGAGGCTATTGTCTTTTCTTAAACACAAAAAAAAAAAATAAAACCACAACAAAAACCAGTAAGGAAAAATCAAAAGTCGAGCGGGGTCGACTATATGATAACCTACAAAAAAACCGCAACAAAATCAAACGCCATAATTTTTACATTTTATACCCTACAACACTATGTGTTGAGGTTATTATAAGTTTGATTGGGCCAAAAATTATGTAACACCACGAAATATTGATTTCCCACATAGGAAAGTATATATGGATCTTCCTATCTCGCCGAGCTGAGTCGATCTAGCTATGTATGTCCGTCCGTCCGTCTGTCCGTCTGTCCATGTTAATTTTTAATCACTCTACAGGTCGCAATTATGGCCGGATCTTCACGAAATTTAAAATTGTAGGTGGGGTTAAGGTCAGAATAGAGCCCTATTTCTTTTGGAGAGGATTGCATAATATTTAGGGGTTGAAATGGACCAAAAACTGAAAAATTTGCTGATTTTGCAGTTGCTCTACAGGTCACAATTATAGACCAACCGGAATTTCGCATGTAGCTAGAGTTTAGGGCGGGGAAGAAGCCTACCAATTTGGGTGGTCATCGGATAATATTTAGCGGGTAAAATAGACCATATCTTTTTTGTTGAAGAAATTCAAAATTTTTCATTAAACCGCGAATATTTTAAATCGCGGCGAAATCACAAAGCCATGACAATCCTGATCTTTACATTGATGTTAACATCCAACAAAACGGATATATAGCAAAATATGTGCGATATATATGTCTACCAAAGAAGATATGCTTGAAAGATGTCTTATATGTCGAGAACGGCTGAACTGATTTCGACAGTTCTCATTAATTCAGAATGGCCTCTTGGCAGGAAAGAAAAAACGTCTAAAAAAATCGCATAAAAACATCTCTAAAGATGAAAATATTGATTTTTTAAAATGTTTTTCAATTTTGTCATATTTTCATTTTGAATTAAACATTTGGTAATATTTCTACAGCTAACAAAACTAAGTAATTAGGATATCAGGATATCATATACAGATCGCATTTATGGCCCGATCCTAACGAAATTTTGCATGGGGATCAGATGAGGGTCAGAATAGAAGCCTACTCGTTTTGGAGATGATCGCCATATATTTAGGGGTTGAAATGGACCAAAAAAACCAAAAATGTCTGTATCTCATATAGATGCGTTTCAGTCAGAAACCAATAATAAATGTTAATCTTTTGCAACTTCTGAGAGGTTATAGGTCTTTGGGAAATATTGGTTCCAGATCTAGGAAGACCATTTACGTGCAACATCTACCTATAAATTGGAAATGAGCAAATTAGTTTAAGTTGCTATTATTCGAAAATTAGTGAACGAAACCTGATGATTTTCTTTTATTATTTGTCACAATATCTTGTGGAATTCTTTCGAGTATCTCGCCTATATAAACTGTATCGTTTATTATAGTGTTGTAGGGTATTCAACGGTCGGCCCCGCTCGACTGTTGCCTTTGCTTACTTGTTTTTAATTGTATTAAATGAAATCAAAAAATATCGGAAATAACATTAAATTTTAGAATAAGTTTAGATCTGTTCGAATTGGTCACCTTTGGCACGAATTATGGCCTTCAACCGTCACGCGCTGCCCGAATGTTGCTCTGCGGCATTTTGGCCCATTCCCGGCGAAGCGCCTGCTTGGGGTGATCGACACTTTGGGATTTTTTAGTGCCAATCTTGCTTTCCAAAATACTCCAGACACAATAGTCCAACGGATTGGAATCCGGAGATATTGGTGGTCATTGTGCGCTGGAAATGAAGCGAGGAACCTCATTTTGCAACCATTCTTGGGTGGCGCGTGCTGAGTGCGATGGTGCTAACTCCTGTTGGAATGTCAAAGGTCTGTGGCCAAAATGTTTGCTTGCCCAAGGCTTTAATACACCCTCCACAATATTTTTTTGACGATAATATTTGGCATTTATTCTGATGCCACGGTCGATTAATACGAGCGGAGAGCGATCATCGGCTGTTATGGCGGCCCACACCATAATCATGGCCGGCGCTTGAGTTCTGGTGGCCAACCGAGGGTGCACATTTTCAGCTGACCTCTTTGGCAAGTAAACACGATAATTTTGTTTGTTTACGAACTGCTGGACAACGAATGTTTTCTCATCGGAGAAAACAAAATTCGGCAATTCACCACTTTCGGCCAAGCGAAGCACCTCTATAGCTCTTCTGAGTGTATTTTCTTTCTGTTGCGGTGTAAGTTCTTGCACTTCTTGGTTTTAACCCGAGCTCATGTTTCAATATTTGCGCGAATGAAATTAACCCGAACCGAAAAGTCGGTATAGGATAAAGATATATGTGGGAGCTATATCCTAATCTGAACAGATCTTGATAAAAATTGACAGAGGTATTTTTGAGCAGTATCTGATATCCGGTACAAAATATCATTCTTCTGGAGTGTATATTACGCATGTGAGGGACTTAAAACCCCAAATCGGATGAAACATATATACGGGAACAATAGGTATATCTGAATCGAATTTCTCCAAATTTAATGTACTTGCTTCTAGTCTGAATTCGGTCGGATATGCCAAAATTCATGTCATTTGGACTCATATTGGCCATTTTGTGCACAATTTATCCGAAATCGCTTGAGGATATATATAGGAGCTATATCTAAATCTGATACGATTATCACCAATTTTAATAGGGTTCGCCCTTGGGTCAAACAAACATTGTTTGGAAAATTTAATCTCAATCGGATAATAAATGCGACCTACATTTTGTTCACAAGAATACATGGACTGACTTGCATAAATCGACTTAAATATTGATTCTATGAAGATCCTCTAAAGTAACTATGGGTCTATCTCGCTTCTTTCTCCCTGTTACAAAGAAATTCACACAGACATAATACCCTTACCACTATGTGGCGTAGGGTATAAACAGCAGCAGCATTTCATCGCTCACATAGCGTGTGAGTGTAAGATATTATTTTTGTTTTTGGCATGAAATGATCTCATATAGCTGCTGCTTTTGCTGGTACTGCTGTGATACATTGAAATCCAAATCCAGTTTGTTTAATTTACGATAGACCAACAAAAACAGTACATGTCATGATAGCAACAACAATAACAAAACAATGAACTACAAAAACCACCAACAACAACAACATGTTCACATATAATATACTTCCATGTCACCTGTATAGAAACAAATAAATGTAGCCGAAATCGTAAGAAAACAAAAACACCAGCACACACAAGCACACAAAACAAAAGACTTAAGACACAAACTCCATACAAATTGGATGCGTGCATGACGTGCGAGGGTGGGTCATTAAGTTGAATTTACATTTTGCAATGAGCTTAACAGTAGCTGGCTACATAGAATCTCCACACCTTTAACGAGGAGAGGGGGAGGGTGGTGAAAAGTAAAAAAATAAACAAAAGACTTAAGACACAAACGGCATAACAATTAAATCGCTATGTTTGAGGGTTGGTCATTAGATGCATGCGATCAAGATACTATGTAGGTGGCACTAAGACAGAACATTCGGAAAAAATCAGGGCACACACATTCCCCTCCCTCTGCCTCGTCATGAAGCTCGACATAATACGGGAAAAGACTTAAGACTCAAAACCATGTAACGGAACCACCTACAACACTGGGTCGGGGGTATTATAAGTTCGATGTGCGAAGAAGTTTGTAATACCGCAAAATATTTGAGATTTGAAATTGAAGCCAAAACGAGTTCGTCTGTCCACGTTAATGACGTAATCACGCTACGGGCGGCAATGAGAGTTGGGTTAGGACCAGAATAGAAGCTTATTTTTGGGGAAAAAGTTGGTAAAATATGTAGAGTTTAAAATGGACCAAAACCTGAAGAATGTCCTGTCAGTCACACTATGAATATATTATTCATATATATCCATGATTAGCATAACTTTATTGAGCGATATATATCTGTTTTAAATCACAGTCCACATTTTTTAACGTAGGTATATCGGTATATCACGTTGATATTTAATATTTTAATGTCCACATTTGAACTCAAAAATTTTCCACATTAAGTATAAATAGTTCGTGATGAGGTTTACCTCTGATTGTAGCACATTGGCGTCCCAGTTGGTGGTAGGTTTGTGATAATGTGCACTAAAATTAGTAAATAGAACTATATATAGTACAATTTTATACAGAGTTAACAGATTGTGGTTGTAGTTTGAAATTTGGTATTAGGGTCGCTGTTCATGTGTAGCCTGAACGAAATTGAGGTCTCTGTTGGCATCTGGAATTGAGATATGGAGTTGGTATTGGAAATGTGTACAATAATTGTACGAAAAGTAATGAATAGTACAACATTTGGTATTGGGTTTTGGTATTGGAAATGTGTACTTTAATTGTACAAAAAGTACTGAATAGTACAACATTTGATATTGGGTTAAGGGATAAAAATAAAATTCTGATATTTGATGTTTAGATGACACTTGCTATTTGAGCTTCTAGTCTTAATTCGGTCGTAAGTGTCAATTTCAAATATTATACGTTTGGTGCACAATAAAAGGTAAATCGGACTAAGATATGTATGGGAGATATATCCAAATCCGAACCGATCTCGAAAAAATTTAGCAAAGGTTTTTCTGAGCTGTATTTGATATATTTCCCCAAATATTGTTGTTACAGAGTGCATATTACGGCTGCGGAGGACAAAAATAACAAATCCGATGAACAATATATATAGTAGCTATAGCTATATCTGAACCGATTTCGATCAAATTTCGCATACTTATTTTCAGGCCTAATTTGATTGTATGTGCAAAATTCCATACTATTCGGCCTGATATTACACGTTTGGTG